GAAAGTCTGCTAACATAAATTTCGTTGATGATTATCTGATTTTTTTGTAGATTCATTTTTTTTATCACACTTTGGATGTTACATATAAATCATTTTCACTTTCAAGAAGTAAAACATTCAAGTTGATACTCGAAATGAAATAAATAAGATTCTTGTATTCAAAACGTTGGATGATAATTTTTTGAATATTTAAGTCTTATTATTAGAAAAAGTGAATATTTGACATCTCAGTATAATTTATGATATTGTTGAATTATTTAATCAAACATTATTGTAGCAAACAAGTAGTATTTTGAAACAATCAAGTATATCACACAAATTTTGAACTCAATTTATAAACATAATAGCTTGTTAAGTTAAAATTTTCTCTTATGCACTAAATGAAATGAGGTAATTTTTATTTGAGCTAGAAGTATTTTGTAAATTATAAATTATTAGTTTCTTTTTTGATGTAACGCATATAAACCTACATAAAAAAGAATAAGATCTAAGCTGCATCATTTTTCTATAATTTTCCAATTTATCTTAAATATTAAAATGATAATAGAAATTAAAAATTAAAATTCAACTCGTATGTAAGTTGATTGTTAGGAAATAACATTTTTTTAATGAATTTGGATTATCAAACAAGATATTATGCTTCTCATCATGACAAGTACAAATTTTCTGTTATTAATATTAAAATTACTTGAAGAAAAAATAAATAATTTTCATAATGAAGCACAAAGTTTTAAATGTATAATCAAAAGTCATTCAAGCCAAGTACGAACACACGAGACACTCATATAATGTGGTTCATACTCAAGTGCTACGTTCACGGTTGAAACACGCAAGAAAGTTTACTAGCAACTGAATACACAATGCACACACGAGTACAAGCCTTTGGGATATATCTACATCCAAAGCCTGGGACACACATAGCTATAAATATCTATAACTTGCGGTTACTCTTTAACCGGAGTTAATTTCAACATGAGTGTTTCTCAAGCTGAAAATGTAAACAAATGTGAGTTGATTTCCAGCCTCAACACTAGTCAGTCCATCAAAATCACTTAGTTAAAAGATAAGGATATTTTTTTTCATGATGATATGGGTTTGATCTTGGAAGAATATATTCATATGATGAGTTTCAAATTTTGTTGGATAGATTAAAGGAATATGGAGCAATGCGGAGAGATGTGCAATAATTAATCAATAAAAAGACTTGACTCTTGCTGAAATTTTTATAGGTTCAACAATTGCTGAAAAAAATGGATTTCATAATTAAATACATTTCCACCCACGTAATTTAAAAATCTACAAGGCCAAGTTGGTGACCAAGGAACCTACATAAGATAAAGATGTGGATTACAATGAAATCTGTATTTTGATTGCTAAGTATGTTATAATTGACTTGTTTTAAATATTTTTGATCTTACTTTAGATCAATTGGAAGTAATCACTGCTTTGATTATAGTTCTTCTATATATGAATTAAATTCATACTATAATTTATGGAATGTGTGAACTCTAGGATCATGTAAATCATACCCTTCATAAGATATATAAGAAACAATGCCAATATAAGAATCTATATAATGATATGTGAAGATTTTACTTTAGTCTTGGTTAATTCTAGCTTGTTTAATTGCTAGACGTCATCATGATTCCGACTATTCAAAAAATCTAAAGAGAAAAAGACCGCTTGAAAGCACTACTACAAAGGCTTTGAAAACCAATAGAGAGGAGAGGAGTAAAAATATAGTACATACGATATGCAAACAACTAGATACTAGGCGATGGTTGATTTCAAGAAGGTTTATTGTTTTTTCAACTCTTATAATCAGCGCTGATAATAAGATTTGAAAAAATATGTTTCTAAAACTCCTCATGTAACTAACACATAAAGACACAAAGATAACTCATATCAGCAATCAACTAGCTCATTTTCTGTGAATCCATATGAAAGTTCTGATGGCTAATCCATTAGATCTCACATGATACTTGTGGTAGGAATCCACCTGCTTGCTCCAGTATAAATGATTGTAAAACACCTACATGGAAAATATATGTATCCTGACTAAAAATTCCAAACCCTTTAGCTATGGTTAGTTATACTAATTAGTAAATCTCTTCATAAAAATTTTGGTCGTAGTTCTATATGACACAGTTCATGGTTTCAGTAGATGACTCTCTATGTTTTGTGAACATAGTCTGGTTGGGCGCATCATGTATCTCTTGTGTCAATAATTTGATGATGCAGATTATTGTGAATGTTGATGTTGCCCAAATTTTTTGTTACTCTATCTTGTCTAGCCTACACTCTAATTTTAAATATCTCCGGCATGAAAAGTTTATAAAGTTAGGTTTATTTGTAGGATTTTTTGAAAATTATGCTTAGAGTCAATATATGTTTATATTCCAAGACCAATGTCAAGACTAAGATTATTGGGTAGTTGATTCAGCTAGAATGCCACTCTAATTACATGCTAATAAAGATGGTTATTATACCAAAATAAGTTTTATGGAAGCTAAATTTTAATGGGGTGAAACAAGTAATTATTGTGTCAAATTTTGATGCATGGCTGCACATATTCATGTGTAGATAGTGATGGTATAACAATAGAAGTAGGTCTCTATATGTCAAGAGAGTTTCAAGTTGAAGTGAAATGATTCCACTATCCATATTCGCCGGAGGACATTACAATGTAGAGATTAGCCTCACTGCTGAAGTTCTGCAAGGTGTCGAGGACTACGTGGAGCACAAATCTCTCTTTCACTTCCTTTGGAGATTCATGAAGCACATATACAAAATATGTACAGTTTTATGTTAAATGTGCTTAGCTTTGTCATGATATATATATTAGCACAATTTTATTATTTATTTCATCTAGTATTCTATACATCATATTTGCATAACATCACATGATACTATAGCCTCTACCACAATGAGTAAGATAGCTTTGACTCTCATTCTAGACCTCATATTATCTCCAAATATGACAAAGTGATCTCACTATTCCTCATTTGGCAATGTCATGACATTTAAAGAGATAGTAGCTCTATTATTTTCTTGTGGACTTTGTGTTTGAACTCATGTTTGGCCTTTTCGTTTGTACTTTATAGTTGGTGTGATAGCCTTGGGACTATCATGCTACACATCTCCCTTCCTCGAAATTCGAAGCTCATCGAGCGAGAGGGATATCGCAATAATCTATTGCACACATTGCGTCACACGCGAGTACTAGAAAAGACGGTGAGCAAAGCACCTGCGAGTAAGAAACGAGGAAATGAATAGCGGCAACGTTACGGCACATTATCGAGCGTTCTTTTTGCGGGGGTGTCCGTCAGACCTGCATCCGATCAACTCACGTCCTTGTAATTCCGTCATGTGCGGCTCCTAAATTCACGACGAACTTCGATCATGCCACGACGGGCACAACCCGCGTTCAGGCATTCACCTCGAGCGCTCTCCGTACAAGAACACCACTAACTCTTCTCATTTCTATCTTTGCAAACGCAAGTCTACAAACTCGCCTGACCTCCACGACGACCTCCAGTTCTTTCACGCCCCAAATCAGAGTCGCAGAAAAACCAGTCGTCGCGCTACCCAAAGCCCCCATTGGCGCCAAATCATTAACTGATCTCGTTGTCGTGAACTTGGCTATGGGTCACGGTTGAGATGCGAGGTCGTGTAGACCTCCACGTGTCAGGATATGAAAGTACCTAAGAGTCAGAGTCAGAGAGAATCCAGTCAATGCGCTGGGCCTTATGTCGCTCTCTTCTCTGAGGCCGTTTCCCGACGGTCGTCTTCCGACTTCGTGACGACTCGCCGTCAACTTCACCGGAGTCACGGTTGGCACCACGAATAGATGCTCCGTGTCTCAAAACCTCGCAGTGGAGTTCGATGTCAGACTCAATTCAGCGACTCCGAATTTCGTTGCGCATGTGAATGAAATCAGATCAGATCAGATACATGGATTACACTCGCCTTTGAGAAAAACCTGCAGCCGGACCTGTAGTTAGATGAGTGAAATATGACTACAAACTCTGGTTAAACGTCGGGTCTGAACTGGGTGATGGAAATTCCGAGTTAGGCCGCGGCATCCGTCATCTGAGAATGATTCTACGATAAATCCAGTTGACTGACCGGACTATAAATCACCAGATTTCCATCGAATCATTTCCGAGTCATGATTGAGTTCTCAATTATATGCGATTCGGAACAAATCGTTTTCAATGAAACATGTCCAGAAAGTACAAGAGACAGTTACAATCTGATATGATAAGATAAAATTCAACCAATTATTTTTCTCACTTTTCTTGTGTACGTGATCTTGCCTTCGGTCAAGAGGGGTTTATCTATAAAAAACAGAAAATAATTATATGATGATGGCTTTTCAACTCCAGTAGGCCATGACCTCCCTAGGCCATGGCCTAGGGAGGTCATGGAAGTTCAGATTGTTCGTGAGGTTAAACGACGCTGCATGTCAAAGTCCACGGACACTGGAGAGCATTCGAGTGGCTGGACATGGTTTGTTTCTTGTTGTTGGGCTTCAAAGCGAGCTCACTGAACACGTGCAGAAAGTGCAGGCAGAGGTGAGTGAGTTCGAACCTGCGAACCAGGGAAGGGGATTGGGAGTGTTCTAGTAGCAGGAGCGCCAGCGGAGAAGGCCCCGTCACGGCGGGGGAGGAAGGGGGAGCTGGGAGGCATGGAGCGCAGCATGAATGCTGCAGGAGCGAGCGTGAGAGCGAGAGAGGGCTCGGGTGGCGCTGTCAGAGTGGAGGGGGCACGGCATGCCAGATGCGCCAGGCACGCACACTCACATTCCTCTCGAGCGGAGCGGGGTGGGGCATGGGCCCCCTCCTGAGCTGACAGAGTTTGTGTATGTGTGGAATTCGAATTCGAAGCAGCAGCATTCGGAGCTGCGGGTGTGGAGGAGGAGGTGGTGCTGGTGGTGGCGACCACTGCTGATAGAAGAAGAAGAGGAGGGCCGCAGCAGCTTCTGTAGAGAGAGAGAGAGAGAGAGAGAGAGAGGGTGTGTGTGTGTCGAAGCCGCTGAATCGAAGGACTGGGCTCTCAATTGGGATGCCCTTCGTCAATCCGTCGGGAGGCTGGAGTGACACAACCGCTCGCTCCATCGAGCTTCGTCAGGCCTTGTCTCTCCTGCACAGGTTCAGCTAGTGAGCGAGCGAGTGAGCGAGTGAAGGATTGGCTCGCTGAATTGTAAGCAGCAGGGACTCGAGGCGCGGCTGCTTCCCTGTTGCTCTTTCTCGTTTTGGCTCGCTCGCGGGGTCGATCTCGCGATCATCGATCATCGTCCAGGTTCAGGAGCTTCAGGAGCGCTCGATTGCACGCAGCCAAGCTTCGTTCGGTCCGTCGTCGATCCGTGGTTGACGATATGCGCTTTCTGCCGGTGCACGTGGTCGCATTTTTGAGGGAGTAAGTCGGATCTGGATAGCGAGGCGCAAGTGAGATCAGATTTCAATTTCCATTCAAGCTCCCATTCATCGGCAGCAGCAGACTCTCAGCTCGAAGGCTCGACTACCTCGGTGGGCGAAGCAGCCTGCCTTCAGGCCCAAAGCTGCCATGGTAGCCCGAGTCTCGTTTCGGCGGTGACAGCAAGCGAATGCAGGCTTCTTGCAGCCGCAGGCCCGTCGTCCGCCGACTCTAGTCCGCCAGCTCTCGAGTCGAGCAAGGTTGGATTGTTAGTGTAGATATTTTAGAAGATCGGACAGCAGATTCACGAGCGAATTACACATCGTTGACCACAGAAGGGTCGGATCTTCGTTAGCGCAGAATTCAGAGGGGAGAAGTCCACGCTCGGGGACGCGGGAGCACAGGCGGGGCAAGGAGCAGATTCGCGAGCGAATCGCACATCGTCGACCACAGAAGGGTCGGATCGTGGGCGGCGCAGAATTCCAAGCTTCGATTTCAGAGAGGAGAAATTCAAGCTCGGGGACACGGGATTACAGGCGGGGAAGCAGATTCGTGAGCGAATTGCACATCGTTGACCACAGAAGGGTCGGATCGTCGGCATTGCAGAATTGCAAGCTTCAATTTAATTAGGAGAGGAGAAATCCAGAGGCGGGCAGGATGGTGATGATATACGAGTACAGGATTCCTCTTCCATTCACGATGGAGGAGTACGAGATCGCGCAGCTGTACATGGTGGCGAAATACAGCGCCAGCGAGTCGACGGGCGACAGCGGCGACGGCGTGGAGGTGCTGAAGAACGAGCCGTTCGAGGACCAGGACCGCAAGGGCCAGTACACGCACAAGGTGTACCACCTGGCCAGCAAGCTGCCGAGCTGGCTGGTCAGCCTGCTGCCCAAGAAGGCGCTGATTCTGGAGGAGGAGGCGTGGAACGCGTACCCGCGCTGCACGACCATGCTCAAGTGCCCGTTCCTCAGCAAGTTCAAGCTCGTGGTCGAGACCAACCACGTCGCCGACCGCGCTACCACGGAGAACGCGCTCAACCTCGACCCGAAGACGGTGAAGAAGCGCCAGGTCGAGTACATCGACATCGCCATGGACCAGGTCGAGAACTACGTCGAGGAGGAGGACCCGAGTTTGTTCAGCTCGAAGAAGACCGGTCGCGGCCCGCTCAAGGAGGGCTGGTCGCAGAAATGCGAGCCGGTCATGTGCGCCTACAAGTGCGTCACGGTCGACGTGCCCTACTGGGGCTTCGGGGGTCGGATCGAGAAGTTCATCGCGAAGAACGCCCAGCGCAAGATCCTTTTGGAGGGTCACCGGAAATGCTTCTGCTGGCTCGACGAGTGGCACGGCCTGACGATGGCCGACGTCCGGCGCATGGAGGCCGAGACCGCCGAGGCCATGCGTCGCGCTCGAGCCGCGGCTCTGCGCCGGTTGATGGAGGGCGGTGAGGGCGGCGACGGCGAGAACGGCGCCGTCGAGGGCGAGGAGGGCGAGGTGGAGAACGGCGCCCCCGGCGTCGACCCCGGCGCTAACGCAGGGGACGATGGCGCCGCGCAGTCGCCCAGCGCCAAATTGGCCTCGAGCACCAACAGCATGCGCAGCCTGCGGCGCAAGCCGAGCATGAGCCTGGTCGGGCCCTCGTTCTCGGTCGGCATCACCACGCTCTCGGCCACGGACAAGGAGTTTCTCGACTCGCCCAAGGCCGCGCGGTCCAGCAGCTCCGCCCCTCCCATGCCCTCACACAATCAATGGGAGTCGGCCTCGAAGCCTGCGCCGCCACCCGCCTCCGACGACAAATTCGTCCGCCAGAAATCGCAGCTCATCCGCACTGGCTCCTCCGAGTCCTTCAACGCCAATCACTACAACCAGAACCACTCTCTGAGCTGGGAGATGCAGCAATACAACAACGTCAATGCCGACATCGACGAGCAGGCCAGCAACGAGGTGTCCAAGTGCGTCGACGTTCTGGACCGCGCCATCGGCTGGGCCAAGGCTCTTTCTCTGAAGAAGGGAACTCGGGGCAGCGGCATTGTCACGCCCATCAACGAGTCCGAGCAGCAGCAGCAGCAGGCGGTCCCGCCTCGCCAGTCCGTCGACGTTTTGGAGTCGACCATGTCTTCGCTCAAGAAACGAACCGCCAGTAAGAAAATCTAGATCTAGAATGTAGGGGTCCACCCATTGACACACACACACACACACACACATACGTGACGATCGAAACGAAATTCCTTAGTGTTGTGGAAATTGTAAGAGTAGAATAGATCCTCACTTTCAATTGAATCAGATTACAGGAAACATGTGATTCATTGTCTGCAGTCACATGTTTCCCATCGCCGGGTACCATTTACCCAATTAAACGTCACTGCTAATTAAGTAGTTTAGACACAGACACAGACCAACAGGACATTCGAATTCTTGTCTCTCACTTACTGGAAATTGCATCCCAGCACTGCCACAATTCGTGGCTGGTGTACGTTCGTACTATGACTTTCTTCACTATTTAAGCTTAATTTACGTGAGGCTCTCGGACCAGAGCCTCCATACCGCATCCTAACATGCAACTTTGGCGTGAAAAAGATCGATGGAGAGTTCGATGTCAGTGCCAATTGTTCGAAGCGAGAAAATTTCTTGGTCACTAGCTCGTCTCTTGATCGTGGCTATTACAGCCAGATTCACTGGGCACAGCCCTCTTTTCATCCCCGCGCTCATGCAACTCGAACAGAAGTGCGAACCGATTCAGCACAAGGTTCACCTTTTTCCCTTTTTTCTTGTATTATGCGTGCATGCGCGGAGCCAATTTCTCGATCAGGGAAGGGATTCATGAAACCTGAATATGGCAATCGACTCGATATTCTGCGACGACTCGACGGCGCTTGAGCTTGAGCACGTATTTGTTTCAACGCATGGATCGAACAAGACAGGAACCATTTCATGGAGCTTGATACAACTTCAATCGATCTGATAAATGCGGGTTTTGATAACTTTGATTTGATAAGGGTTTTTGATTTCAGGTATGGTTCCAAATTGTTGTTCAACTAAATTAATAGCAGAATTTTTTTCTTCAAATAAATTGAAGGGATCTGGAGTTTTCCAAAGATACGGGGAAGATATAATTGACTTACGTATCGTAAATATATTTTTCCACCATATGATCTTGTTTTCAGTAGTAATAGTACACATTAGCAATACGTTCATTTTGAAAGTACATAGAATGTGTATGATAATAACTAAACGTATTAATTTTCCATGTTGGCGACCAAGTTATTAATTATTATTAAAAATTATAAAAATTTGCTTAGAATAGTTTTGTATCGGCTTTTGGTATTATCCGATGGCTACGTTGTCTTTATATGTCCGTCGAGGATGATGAGAATTGGAAAGGTACGTCAATCGCAAGCGCAAGTTTGATCTATTAATCCAAGGTATCTTGTTTTGTAATGTACAGAGTACCAGGAGATAGCCTGCCTGCCTGATCGAATGATCTGCAGAGTGAGCATTTCCTTCCACATTGTCCAAGCTCAACTCCTCATCTGATAACGTGAGTGTCAGTGCAGCGGTTTAAATATAGCCCTGGACTCGTTGGAGAGGTCACATGGAGAAGGTTGCGTCTCTAATTCGATAAGAAGCTCAGCCATGTGCTCGTGGTGCGTCTGTACTATTTTGAGCAAAAGTCTGATCATGCACTGGATCGTCGTTGTAGCGAAGTGAGTCGGATTAGTCCAGTGCATAAATGCACATGGTCCTGATCAGGAGAACCATGGCTGAATCCGTCAGCGCGAGTGTCCTAAATTGCAAACATCATTAATGAGCTCGCTGCGCCATGTGAGCACCGGCTGTATCCCTGGCACACGTCACGTTAAAATCATCGTCCGAAGAAGCCAAGCGACTCTGATCTGAAATGCTGAAACCGAACAATCACCTGATTCTCAATTTCTGAAAGGTAGGGCTATCGTGCCGTGGTCCCGGGGACTGCAGAGAGTATGCTTCTTCAACAGTTTGAGCGATACTGATACGTACTGAGTTTCTGAGACACCGAATGCCACAATCAGAAGTACCTTTGAAGATCTTCTCTTTCTGTCAGGAATCAGCACACCCATCTCGTTTCTTCAATTTGGGACATTACGTATTCGACAAAGAACTAACAAAAAGTCGTATAAACCCACGCACTCCGACCGAGTCACCATCTCCTCTTCACGGAGAGCATCTCCTGTGTTCGCTACAAGCTTGCAATCAAAGCAGATTGCTCTTTCGTACAGGAGGCAGGAGGTGGCCAATGAGAGGCTTCAGAGAAGATACACTCATCGTCGGATGGACCCCAATGGACCCCAGGTCCACAATGCAATGTCTACGACTGCGATCGAACATGCTTCTGTAATATCGTACCGTGGTGTACTTCTCTGGTGATGAGGCAGTTTGAGAAACTGCTGTACCTACAACGCACAGGGCTAGAGAGTCCTCGACTCGACGACACTGAAGCATGCCAGATGGCAAGAAAGCGCGTTCTCGTGGGAGACGCATTGAATTCACAACCATAATTTGTGTGATAGAACTAACCTAGAACGCTTTGCAGTGTCATTAGAATGTACTGATCTGATACAGTTGCAGCTGAAGTCTAAGCCATGTGTGCTGACAATGTGGTGAGCGTTGACGCAGCTGAATCAGATATGGGGTGGAACCGTGGAGCTCTTACCTCAATCTCTCTCTTACTTTCGTTCTCAATCCAAGGAAGTCGCAGATTTGCATCTATCACTTGCAGCAGTTGCTCTCAGAGGATCGAATGTATTCTGTTGTACTCACTGGACCTATGATTTCCAGGAATAGAAATCATGTGGACTGCCGGGTGTCGTCTCTCAGCTCTCAGTTGGAGCGGTGACAATGCATATTACAGACATTCAAGATGCACACGTGCTAATTCTTGTAAGTCAAGCTTGGAAAAGTCGTCACGCTCGTATGTCGAGCTTGATTGTGGAAGAACTGAGAATCTGGCCTCTAAACGGCCTGTCACTCGACATGGGGGACGCAGTCTCGAATGCGTCACCAAATGTCATGAGCATCATCATTCTACGTAGCTGAATATCTGGGTGTGATATCAAACCAACCTTCACTAAAATTCTAGATAAAGGTCAGAAATCTCTGATGTTAGTAAGAGGTCAACACTATCTACATGTTTCGGTATGAAGCTCGAGAACCATAGAAATATTTCAGAATTTCAGGCCTACTATTGGACTCAAAGACAAAGGCCTACTTTGGACTCAAAGTCTAGACTTTCTTGGCGGAGGAATTGTCGAATTCCTTCATCGAACTGTCTGTCGCTTTGCACTCTCTTCTTGAATCTGTGTGTTTCCTTTTCTCCTGAAGGCACTCGTTGATTTGTTCATGAGTCAGAACAGAACTTGTCTAAAGTTGTTGTTCGATAACTTATGACTTTACGATGCGCCCAATTGTTCCACATGTTATTGTTGTATTAAATAAATTCCTCTGGCTTGAGCATGCTGTGACGTGGAGGACAGAAACAAATTAGGCAAAATTACGAAGCCCCTTTTCGACGAAGCGTCTGTGGGGCACTCATAGCTGAGACCTCAGAAGCTGAATTGGACATCTGTGAAAGATTGACGCTTTGCAACTTGTTGAAGCATCTCCAGAGCAGAAATTGTTAACGGGAAGCTTGCACGCATGTTCATATTTGATAGTGAATGCTAGACTCGGAGCTGAGCGTCCATGGCGGCCCAAGGCCGAGGCTAGCTAGCCTCAACAATGATGCCTTGTCTGCCATTCGGGCTCGGCTTCTGAACGACTGTGGTCTTGCTCACATCTATACGCAGTACAGTCTCGGAGGCCAAGTCGAATATTGCTCTAATCATAAACATGTCAGGCCCGTAGCTCGCGATATGTTTCAAGTCCTGCGCTTCAAAATCACGAGGAATTTCTATAACTACTTGCGTGGCACTTGATCGATCGAAGTTGTGAACATATGCTCACGATTTTGATGATTTCAATAAGCGACTACAACCTGGGGATGTGTAGATGGTTGCTGGATGAAGTGTTTCAGACGCAAGAGAACTGACAGACGAGGGACCGCTCAAGCACATTACACTGCCGACTCTCTTTAGATCAGAAAGTTGGCAACATTGCACTGTTCTCTGGGATAGTGGTGACTGTTCAGAAGAATTTCGGAGATGCTCGTCTACTGCACGTGGAAAGATGTGACGTGAAAATTGCAGCCGTGTACGTGCCATATTCATCCTTAAATGCCATTCCGACATGGGCAAACACGAATTGCTTTTGATTCTCGAGCATATTGTCAGGACTTTGATTTTCGCTGTCTCCCTACTAGACGCGGAGAATCACGAGATTGAAATGGATCGACTGACCGACCTCAATAGAAGCCATCAGAACGCCGATCGATCTAAACCTCAGTAGAAAAGTGGACGACGACAGCGAACGGAACGTGACGCATGCATAGATTTACTCGAGAATCAAGCTAATGGAGACTTCGATCGATCTAAATGGTCTCGGTATGAAGCAAAGGTGAGTTGTGATCCATCACAGCTTACCTGCGGCAGGTCCCAATCAGTCGATCCAATTTCTGAGAAAGTAAGTGGCCGCACCGAAAAAACCTCGTTGCGAACGCATGAAATTTTCTGGACTATCTTGTGTCAAGCCCTCGCCCCTCGAGCCGGATGGGTGCAATTATTGCAACGCCGAGATCTCTTGGCTATGGAGCGCTGCCTAATTTGCTCAACCGCACCCTTGGCGAACCCAGGACTACCCGAATTTATCGTTTGGGAGTCTTTTCCCGAGATAATGCTCGTCCTCGCGAAGGCCATGGGGCTGGTTGGTTGGCTGCAAGTATCTTGCTAATTTCAAAAGTTCTCACGCTATCGATCGACCGATAAATTTCGGTTTCTGAATTTCAAACACAGGCTGGAGAATTCTCGATGCCGCAAATTCTCAAAGACTCCTTATCGACAACTCGAGTGATCTCGCCGATGTTTGATTCCAATCTGAAGGCGGGCAAGATCGATTTGCTTGGCGGCTGCTTCGCTTCGTCCCCTCCTCCCCCGGACGCGAGATATGATAGCCAACAACGGAGCGGCTTGTGGGATTGAACTTGAGATGGAGAGATGAAACGCAAGTCTCTCTACTCGCTTACTTCGATTTCCTTGATCCTCGATCCTCGCTCGTCACCATCATTCTTTCGCGACGCAACTCTTCTCGCTTCGATAAAGAATGAAGTTTGACTCTGTCTCAAATGTGTCGAGAATTGGAGACTCGCGGGGCATGTAGTCTCGATAAAGGTCAGAATATTTCTGCCATAAGCCAGATCGACAGACAGACAGACACAGCTGAAACAATCAACACGAGACGAAGGGCTTCCAACAGAGCAGAGAGTCCACGATTTCTTTGGGATAGCGCAGCACACAGCAAGCAGTGCTGAAGGCTGTGCTGTGACACTCAGACAGCAGCACCTCCCCACAAATGCTCGGTTCGCTATCTCCTATCCCCCAGAAGTCATGAATTCTCTCTCTCTGGAAGCTTTTAGTAGCCCATTGAGCCTCTTCCACAGCCTTCAGCATCTTCTCACGACTGTGATCAAGTTTGGAATGTTCTCCTCTTCCACCGATCGATGAACTTGTCCTTGAATCTGAACACTGCACGAGAAAGTGCGTAGGTATTACAAAGGAGAGGCAAGAGCTCGCAATCCATGGCATGGCATTGGAAAGTGTGTACGTCATCGCAGTGTTGGTACAAAGTCGAGGTTCTCCACCATTCACCATACACCATTCACCATCACTCTCACCCTCGCCATCGCCACCAACATGCTGAGTGAGAATCAGTGCTTAAAAGAAGCGGAAGACACTGAGATGAAATTAAATACCTGACATTTATCGTGCCAATCTAAAACTCTAAACAAGTGCATTAGTTTATGGGAGCAGCAGATGTAAATCTGTTGGAAAAAGTGGCAGAACTGTGTTCTGTGTAGACCAGTGATGCCTGCTGACATCAAGAGCTGTCACCTCAGTGATGTGATGCAGACGACAGACAGACAGTCAGCAGCAGTTATGGAACCTTCACATTCGTGGATTTACCTTTCCCTCCGCGCGTGTGCCTGTCACAGACCATGTGCATGCGGAGATCTGCTTTTTGCTCTCTCTCCCAGGCCAGAAGGGTGGATGGCACGCAGAGGTGATGTGATGTTGGCAAGAGCGCGCAGACATTGGATGAGTAAGTTATCCTTGGGCGCTGCAAAGGTCTGTTGTTTAATGTGAGCTGTAAAGTCATCGCAGGGCCTGGCTGACCGAGCGAGCCACAAGTCGGATATGCTCAATCTGAGCTCGTGCGCCTCGCCTGAGCAGATCGACCGACATACTCATCATTGCGAGATACGCATGCGCAAGCAAGCAGTCGATAGTTATGTGCCGTAGCATCACCATTATTATCATCTGCTCGTCTGCTCGGTTCGAGTTCTTCGATTCTCGAACCGAACTTGGGCTCGAATTGTTAGTTCGAAGGACATGGGAGACATTTCTCTGGACCACGAAGTCGAGCTTATTATTCGAGCTCATTATCAATAACTTTCGATCGACCTCCCTCTCGTTCAGCCACTCGAGCCTTTTCACTCAATGCTGCTGGTCCATTGCAGCCGGACCGAGATACCAACCAACCAACCAGCACATTTGTCTACCGTCGAGCATCTATGGAACCTTGTAATCTTTCATTATCCTCCAGACGTGGTCATGTAGACATGCATCATATGAAGGTCGGTGGAGGTCTGCACGAGGAGGAGATCGGATATGAAGAGCAAGCAGTTCCGTATGCTATCACTGACATGACGATCCGAGCACCGAAATCCAAAGTAAGCTACTAAACAACTCGAGTCTGCGACCTTTGTTGAGACATCTAGAACATATTGAGGTTTCCACCTTCAACGAATCAGTTGATTCGTCATCGAGTAATTAATTCCTTCCAGTGGTTGTTCGAGATATACGAAGATAGAAATTCACATTTGTTAGTTTATGAAGCTTCTGGTAACACAATTGAGCTCAGATATTGAAATTTTTAAAATGTATGTAGTATCATCGAGTATATTTGGAATATGGAACTCGAGAGACAGTTTGATAAGACAGAATGTGCAGCTCGAGTACGAAATGCTTGTCGAGGTATCAAATCTAGTGATCCTAACAAGAAAGTGTATGCTGATGTCTGGACAACCGCCCCATCAAATCCACTTCCTCGATTCTGACAATTGCAGGCTTCGATCCCAATTCTCGATCGTCGGTCACTTGAAGTAGTACTTGAAGGCTGTGTTGAATCTGATATACTCGAGGAAAGGCACGAAGGAGCTTCGGATGAAGTATTTATTTAGGGGCATTGACGCCATCGTGAGAAGATTCGCACGAACGTGGTAAGCAAGCAGAGCGCCAAGATTGAAGATTCGGGGCGGACTCAGCATTACACGCACGCATTTCTTGTCCCGAGAGAGCAGCAGCAGTTATTTAGTTCTGATCATATATTTTTGGAGCACCGGCCGACAAAGAAAGAACATTCCATGAGTGCGACGAACATCTGAATCACACACCAATTTGGACGAGCTGGTCCGATCCCGGTCCCGGGCCTCGAGTCCGTAGGAAGCTGCAGGTGTTTCCCTGTCGCTGCCTTTTTGTACGCTTGTAATTAATTGATGGAGAGCTGTCGAAGCGAATTTCTTCGATAATTCGGATATTATGGCAAACAATAATTCTGGAATTAATTTGTCCGTCCTCCTCTCGTCCTGCTGCGCCTCTGATGGCCCCAACCATGACAGACTTTCCGCTAGCTGCTCTTGCTAAATTTTCTGGTGGCTGAGAACTCCTTCCTGGTTGGCAGTGAACCACAGGCACGCTCTTTTTTTAATGTGTTTGATCGGATCTGCCAGAGTGCAAACGAGTGTTGCAGCTGATTGGGTTCCAGCACGCGCAGATTTGTTGACGAAATGAGCATCATGGGTCCTCCCCAGTAAGAGGTGAAAACCGACTGTTCATTCGAAGGGCATGGCAGGGCAGCGGCGAGGAGCGCACTCTGCAATTGTTCATGTTCATGTTCATCTGCATCTGCTGGCTGGCTGGCTGGCGGGCGGGCGGGCGGGCAGGCATCGGCAGTGGAATTGAAACCTCGAAAGCTTGAGCTCAGATCTTTGGAATGCCCTCACGGCCGCCGGTCGAAAAGGACCATCGTGCCGAGTCGTGTGAGCGAGCGAGGAGCGACTATTCTGATGCATTGAACCATGTCACTGATCTCATGGTTCAATGCATCAGATGCACTGATATCCATTATCCATTATCATTATTCTCGACGTTGTTGTGTAGCTTCAAATTTGTGGAATGCATCAGATGCACTGATATCCATTATCCTTATGCTCGACGTTGTTGTGTAGCTTCAAATTTGTGGAATTCATCAGATGCACTGATATTCATTATTCATTATCCATTATCATTATTCTCGACGTTGTTGTGTAGTTTCATATTTGTGGAATTCATCAGATGCACTGATATCCATTATTCATTATCCTTATTCTCGACGTTGTTGTGTAGCTTCAAATTTGTGGAATTCATCAGATGTACTGATATTCATTATTCTCGACGTTGTTGTGTAGCTTCATATTTGTGGAATTTCACAAAAGTCTCAACGGATTAAAAACTGAGTCGAGAGAGAGAGAGAGAGAGAGGTGCCTTCAGAACTGGTTCAGCACAAGCGCGTTCCTGTAGTCATAGGATCATAGATCTGAAGGCTGAGGTACAGAACAGTCGATGCTCGAAAACAGGTCAGAGAATGCCAAGCCCCGAGTCGCCGGCTCCTTTGTTCCGACTCACCAGGCATCGCATGGTGTTCACTGTGCTTGCTTCACCCGCAGCCGGTGCTGCGGGTTGATTCTCTCGCTCTGAGGTATCTGTATGCTGAAGATTGTCTGAGATCCGGAACGAATGTGAAACCTGCCGCTTGATGTGCCTCGACATCACCAAATAAATGCAGTCAGAAGCAGAACCGTAGTCGACCTCCAACACCTCGAATCTTCGAATCTTCGGTGCAGTCGAAGCTCGGCTCTCGCACGAAATGAATTGAAATGGTGATATGAATTGATGCCGACCCTCAGGCTGAGAGATTCTACGGTAGAATTAATACTAAGACATCCGTTGTTCATACACAACAATTCCGAAAGTTTCCCGATTCTATCCCAGTAACTCGCAGGCTCGTGAGGTCAGCACGAATCTAGAGCTTGTGAGCAACTATTTGGGTCTCCTCAGGTTGCAACAGTCGTAGGAGTGAGTAGGTTCCATCTCGCCACGTTGAAGAGTCAAAAGGCTTATTTACTCAGGTGCCAGAATCCCCACAGAAGCCGCAAGATCTAGAGCAAAAGCCTGTTCTCACTGTTCTGTCGATACCAGACGCGCATGAGGTACAGATTCCTTTCTCCTCACCTCACCAAAGGATTTGGACTCGGCATGCTCTTCGTTCGTTCACGAAGGAGGAAGCAAGCTCCTGCACTCTCTTCCATACTCCCTCTTTTCCTGCTTCCCCTATTATAGAGCACCAACCAACCAACCAACCACCGACGTTCCCGAAAGCCCTCGAGTTACTTACATACTAGCCACTATTGAGAATCGTGCGGGTCCCATGGGCATGGCGACGGTCTTCCACATGCTGCAGAGTGAATGCAGTTGAATGTGGACGGAGGGAGTAAAATGGTGATGGAAGAGCTCTTGAAATGGCCTGTGATCGTCTCGAGCTGCCTGCCTACCAGCCCACAGTCTGACTGCAGTGAACCAGGTACATGGAGTTGATTGAGCACAGGGCATCCATCATCCATCACAAGACACAGAATCCAGGTCCATCACAATTTGAGGCGAGCCTCGTCTGGACTCGGTTCCTTGGAAGTTGGAAAGAGCCGAGGACTGAGCCGGAACCTTCGCTCCACTCTGTGCTGATCTTAACAGTCTCCGTCCAGAAGAATGTCGAGCACTGAACACTGTCCTTAGATTGGGAGGAGACCGTCTGTCAGGACGCTGTGTGTGCCTTCCGACTAAGATTAGGAAGTTTTCATCGAATATTCTTATCGAACTGCTTGTGAGCTGCTGCTGGTGCTGCTGCTCCATAACTACTTCTCCTTCATCGTGTTCGTCCCACGATATGCGAATTGTGTCAATGTCCTGAAGAATTCCGTTGGCCATCCTCGGTCCTGTGCTACTTATTGCATACATGGAATAGAAGTGCATAGTCCTTGCTTGCTTGCCTGTCTGGAGAGGAACTGGACCGTAACATGACAAATATGCCCGGGATTAATTAAGATCGGGTTCTGCAGTATTCAGGATTGCTACCAAAGTTCATTCCTTTCGTGCTGCCAATCGTGGTCCATGCTTTGTATTGGATCAAAAGTGGGGGGAGGTCAGACTATTGAAGGAATGTGAGGGAGATGAAATAAATTGCGGGGAATCTTGACCGTCTGGCTTTGCATTTCAACCATAACCATATGTGAGACTGTGGAGAAAGCGATGGCTGAAGTGCCCCTGAGCTTCCTGAAGAGAAGATAAGCTTGGACCAAGGACAGGAAACAAGACAGACGAGTCTGTTGACGTAATGAATGCTCTGAACTCTGGGATGAGTTGGGGAAGTTCCCGTTTCTCATTAAGATACAATAATTACGATTATTCAGAACATGTAAACTTAGCAGTGAACATCAGAAAGGAAGGACTGCTGCTGGTGCTCCGCGAGTGGCATCGTTTTCATTCATTCTCTTTTCCAAGATTGAAAGTAATTGGCTAGTTTTGAGCTAGTTTTGTACAATCGAACAGCTGAAGAAATGTTGGTGATATGTATGTATCTACGATAAGCACGTTAAATTGAACATGATTCTGTCACAAGGTCGCGCCAAATTTAATCTTATAAGTTCAAAGTGATGTCTTATACTGTTTACAAGTCATGAAGGGTGGGCTGCATGTTGTTCGAAATTTGACCCCTGCAGTTGGCATTGGAGGGACAACAGCTCATATGAGCGATCATTTCATGTCACTTCCAGTAAATGACAGCCTTGAGAGCTAAAAGGTGATTTGGTGTATATTACACCAAATCACCTTTCAGCTCACTTAGCCAATCATTCCTTCCCTTCGAATCTTGCATCTCCAAGTGGGTTATCCGAACAAGAACTAGCTCTGAAGTCTAGTGATCATCCTCAAAGGCTTTTGGCGAATTATCTCTGTCAGAGATAAGAAAAGAGGGCGAGACCGATGAGAGCTCTGGTGGGGAAGGCTCTCCCTCTCTCTCTGTCTCTCGTTACATGATCTTCCTCAAAACAGTGCTCATCTTATCCTGGTTCAATCAGACTAGTATCAACTGTGCTCGGTGAAGAGTAGAGTAGATTAGAGTTGTGATACGTTTGTGGCAAGTCTGTTTGTCGGCACATTCGTTGTTCGTCCATGACAGTATGAAAGAATGACTTTCCTAGATTTCTCTCTTTCCTTCACGTTCCCTCCTCCCACTTGAGGAAATTCTATCCTGGTTAACGGTCTTACATTATCCTCTTTTTCATTCCGTTTCGTCATATTCTCCGAGGAATAAAACGGAAGATTGGGTTTCGAAGATGTGTTCGTTCTTTGTGCTTTTGAGGAACAATTGGCACGTCCCTTAGTGCAGTGGATGAGAAGTCCAAGCCCAAGAGATTTTGGTAGACTCGTCGGTAAAAGAGGGGACGATCATCTGATTCAGATGAGACGCTTGGGAAATATGATTTTTGGAAATAGCACGAGCAATATTTTTTTTTTGTTTTATTTTTTTGTTGTTGTTATAAATTTGTGTATTCCCTGACTTTAATTTCCTTCAGAAGCCATGATTTCGGGTTGTAAGCGTGGTGCAATGCAATTTTCATATGGCCGTAAAAAGGAAAGGCCTCATATCCTTTTTGAAAGCAACTGTAAGAAAATGCTTTTATGGAAAAGTTTTTTGAGGGCTCTAAAATATGCTGGAACTATACTGAAGAGCTATAATCAGATAGAGACCGTGGTATAAGAGAAGGAGAGGAATGTGAGAGGACCGAGTCCTTTCAATTTATATGTTCCATGGGAAACATTTCCAAGCACCAGGAGGAAATTGAGTCGAAAGTAATGCTGGCAAACGAGCAATGTTAAGAATATCTTTAATGCATCAGTATGATATTCATGAGATGAGCGGAGATTGTAGATAACACTGCGTATGCTGAAGCAGTAGAATTGATCAAAGTACAAGGGATATTCAGATCGATGGACAAATTAATATAAAAAATGGATGCTTGTCCATTTCTCTCCTAGACGTATAATGTCTTGATGAATCCTCCCAGGGAAACAGTACAGTTCTTTGAAGTTCTCGATAAACATATATCCAAGGATTTAGACTCAGCTTTACCTTCTATTATAATGTTTCGATAACGAGCAGTAACGGATGAGTTTCCATGACAGCTGCACGCATGAGAGATGTATGTTTGCTCTAAGTGATTCTCTTCTAGAAGTTTATGATTAGCAACTGTATTTTTTATCGAATACAGCATGACAACCTTTCTAATTTTCCTCACCACTCGTTTCCCGTGGCATTAGGCGGAGGTAAATGTCCAGAATGAGACCTACTGGCAAGCCTTCTGTTATGGGATCCCATAAATTTAGGGAATGTAGAATGCATGTGCTAATGCTGCAGGAAGCACCACTCACGAAAATAAGAGAGGGAATGGGACGTTGGTTCCTCCTCCACGAATTTAAACTCAAGACTAAGTAAGGCCTTTCACTAAGTACCAGTTTTGTCATCCACTTAGTCCCCCCTCCCCCATTGCATTAGGCGGAAAGAAATCCGATGGGGGTGGAAGGGGTGGTGGGAGCTGGTCAACATTCTCTCATAGTCGTCCACAAATTCAGCAGAATTTTCAGATATCCAGTCATCACACAGTGCGCTGTGGGAGCGTTTTACACATGGTAGACTATGAGAAGGTCCGGTGCTTCCTCCTCCACCAGTTCAGTTCTGTGTCTAGATTAAGTGGCTCGATTGATAGTGACATTTCTGCTCCTCCACTAGTTCCCCAGTCAACAAGGCGGGCATTAATGTGCGGTTCACGACAGGGTGGAGAGGATCCCTCATTCGTTCAGCACATGAGCCGGATTTCATACTCATCTATCGAAACCAGACACATTAAATAGAAGAACGAGAGAACACAAAACTGTTTGTAGTGATTTATACATTTTGATTTTCCTCACATCTCGAAATATTGGTAATAGCCCACTCATTCCTTTTCTTCCATTTCCCATAGAAAGCTTTTATGAGGAAAGTATAAAAGAGAAGAGTCTGAGGTGGGATGGGATGTACAACTCGACCTCACGACCTTACCTTCCACGATATGAGCAAAAATTTCAGGGTAAATTTTTATGCATAGGTTCAAGATGGGCAAGGGAGGAGGTGAAATAAAAAATAAAATGAATGAAGAATACATATAAAGCACATGCAATCGAGATTAGAAAAAGAAAATATGTAGTTCACAAGGTTAGGTTACGAAACATATTGAGAAAATTTCTTTCAAGCTTTCACTTATCTCGTAAAGAATGACTAGTAGCTTCCTTAATTTAACCAACTATACTCAAACTGAATACCAACATGAATTTCACACGTTTAACACCTATGGCCTTTGAGATCGATTTCTTAGGCTAAGCTTGTTTATCGATTTCATTGTATAAAATGTGTGTAGCGAGATGAGAGAATGTTGTATTTTACTAAATCTGTACATGTTGTATATATTAAAGACTTTGTATAGGTTATAATATTACTAATTCAAGTCACTAAGCATGCTATTATTGAAATAGAATCAATATCAAATTATTGATATCAAGAGCAAAGTAGTTCAAATTATTTTATAAGTCTATGTTATTAGAGATAATATTCTGCTGATCCTTGAAGCTTGAGAGATAACTCAATCCAGTGTATTCAATAACGAACCAAACTCTTGCCAAAAATCCAAACGACTGTTCTAGCGCAGGCCAGGAAAACTCGCCATTCTTTTGTTCTTAGCGGAACTTGTTTTACCACTTTTTCCTCTCTTTATGACAAAAATATCTCCCTTATATTGCAATCCTTCCTGGCTATGCATTTACTGGGGTTCACGCTCGGACTTGACTTTATAGTTCGGCAATGGAACGTTTCATCTCTCGAAGTAAAATTTCTACTTTGCATAAGGCTTTTCGCACATGCTGCGGATAATACTCTGATGAATGTAACATCGAATATAGGCCAGGGTGAAGATCTACTTCCAGAAGATGAGCAGAAATGATAAAGTAGTAGTTTAAAACAGAAAATCCGTATTGAAATGAGCATGCTACTACTACTTCTCCTCCGGAAGGTCAATGCTGCATTTTCCCCGGTAGGATGCTCACTTGATCTTGGATCTTGTGTGTAGTATGTGCTTTCCTCCGCCACTGAATACAAAAATCCATGAGGTGCAAATATATCCAGAGATCAAGGCAGAGTGTACAACATGGCCTCAATATTCGTGAGAAAATTCCACAAAATCAGGTGCAATCGCAGGCATCAACCGTTTATGCCTTGCTCTGGTCTAAGGAACACTCTGGCTGGAAAGGATTAGGATTGCTCTCATTGCATTGTCCTCCACAAGGATAATTTCTGCATGTCTTCTTCGTCTGGCCTCTTCGTAGACCTTGTTTGTGTTATCCTTTGCCCTCCACCAGTTTCGCAGAGATTCAGACGGCGATTGGAGTGGGTGTTCACAATGTTGTTCTCCCACTGTAATCGGCATCATCCTCCAGTATAAAGGAGAAATTATCGACCGGTGTTGTTGATACGATGCGATGCGGCCCTTGAACGTAGCAGACATGAAAGGAAAGGGCAACCTCCAGACTCTTCCTCCTCCACAAGTTGTATTTTTGTGCTGATTGCGACATGGAGCTTGTTACTGACCGGTTTCCCTCAACCACTTGTTTCGCATAGCACAAGGTGGAAAGAGAAGTACAGCTTGCAACTGCTCTTGTTGTCCACAAGTTCTCCGCGAGTCTGGACAGTTTGGTAAACAGAGAAGCTGATAACAGAGCTTGTGGTCCAACAAAATTTACGACCGAAGTTTGCCAATTTTAGCCAGAGTTGAAGAGAAAGCAACAGCAACATGTTGGGGGAGTTTTCTACCACAAGAGGCCAAAGCTTTAGGCGGCAGCTGAGTTCGAGACAGAAAAAGCACGGAGAGCAAGAACAAATCAAGCAACCATGCTAGCGCATGGCATGGCCACGGATAAAAAGAATGGTAAAGCACGCAGTTTCCTCAATGTGCAACAGCTAAGCAGGACTGCTCATGATCTGCATCCACATCCACTATTGCGGCAGGCCGGGAGCTTCATCACTGTTACTGTTCTAATATACAGCTCCTTCGCTCCTGAGATTAGCCTATCCAAATGCTTCCCATCACGATCAGCAGTGATGTCTGAGGAGGGGTGGAACGGGCCTGCTCCACTGTTGCATTTCATCTCTCCTCGAATTTGTTGGGCTTTAACAAACTCAAAACCCGTGCTCGTCTAAAGAGCTGGAAAGATGACGTCCATCCGACGCATTCGAGCAATAAACGTTTGCGCAAAATCGTGTGTTGAAACATAGATTGACCCACACTTTTGGATGACCTAATCACCACAGGTTTGCTAGCTTACTTTGGTAGACTCATTATGAACTTGCTACAGGTGCCAATCCGCAAGGATTTGTTTTCTTTTGTTTCGATTGGGGCTCATGTGTTCCTACACATGAGCCCCAAACAGGAGGCTCGAACGAGCTGCCTTTAAGGTTGTGAGATTTGTCTTTGCTCGTTTCCCCTGAAACGGGTGTGAAATAGAAGAACCGCTCGTCCCGGCAGGCCGGCCTGCACACTGCCCGGTTGACCAAACATTTGACTCGATTATTTTAATGGGGTCAAACTCCAAACACGAAAGGAGTGATGTCCTGGCTCTAAGGAAATCCTTACCTTGTGAAAGATCAATGTCATCGGAAATCCCATCTCAACCATCTGCAGGAAATCCTGCAGGCAGCAGAAGAATCTGTATTCTGCTCAATCACAGTTTCTGAGACAGAGGTCAGTTCTGCACAGTTCAAAACATCTGTTCATAAACAATGGATCCGTGGATACGAATTGGCAATCACCCAATCATCCACCACCATCTACCAAAAATTGTACTAGCAGCAGCAGCAGTCCTGTTCATTTCTGTCGTATCGACAGAAAACTTTCTCGGGCGAGATCGCGTGGGAGTCAGAGTCCTCCTGAACAGCGGAGCAAAGCAGAATAGAACGTCAACATCTTAGTCAACCAGCTAGTCAGGACACATGAAATTAGTTAAACTTTCGTGACCTGAAAATCACCTGAACAATTAATAACGGTGAATGTTTAGCAGTTATCTACAGCTTCTAACTGTTGTCGAGAGAAGGAAGGGTGGAAGGGTGGGACCGACCCTCAGTCTCTTCCTCACCCAGTCCATGGTCTGAACATGTTTACAGGTTACCAGTTCATCCTCATATTCGTATAGGTTCTGATGATGCTCTTAGAGATCATCTAGCTTATGTCTCCGGCATGATATACGCGCAAGAACATCGAAAGGCGATTATCATGTTCACACTCTGCTACATGCTCCAAGGTTCACACTCGGTGCTGCAGAGTTCAGAGATCAGAGTTCAGAGTTTAGGATCAGACATGACGTAGAGAACTCTAACTTGATCGATTTTTTCTTTGTCTAGGACTTCATAATTGACGACTGTATGCTAGCTAGCTAGCTAGCCAGGCTCACAAATCTCACTCCTGGCGGAGCTAAGATGCTCTCGTACGGTCCGTAGACTAAAGAAAACATACCGATGCGTGACGAAACGTAATCGTCAAAAGCTCGAATGTTGACATGGGCGTTACGTCCTTCGTCCAATGCCCGTTCTAATCCCAGGCCTCCAACTGTGTAAAGTCGATGGGAGCATATGCCTTCCAGAGTATACGAGCTAGCTCGGTGACAGTTTACTACAAAGGTCCCTTCATCATGGTTCGGAAGGTTACAGAGGTTGGGGTGAGGTGAGTTCAGTTGGGTGGGATGGGTTGGGTTGGGTCAGGATTGTGCTGGTGGTGAGTACCGGATAGGCAGGCAGGCAGGCATGCGCACAGCACAGCACACAGTGAGCATGGCTTCAACTCCATGACCCAGGTCAGTCAAGGCCGCGCTCAGTAGTCGTCAGTAGTAGCTCAAAGCTCCATTGCAAGAGAGCACCTTTTGGCATGGCCGTCATCATCAGCGGTGTGATCATCATGCTGAAGGGTGTAACCTCTAGAAGAAACATGCCTGAAGTTGATGTACATTGATGATCCTAAAACCGGTGCCGCGGTTGCAGTACGAGCGAGAGCTAAGCTCACCTTTTCTCAGCTGCGCTTGTGTACTGTAGGGGTTTCCATATCGACCTCATGATGGGCCCTCTAGATGGCCCCAGCAGCAGCAGCACAAGGAGAGTACGGTAACTCTGGCCTGGAACAATGGAGTGACGGAATGCGCTTCCTTTATTGACCTCCTGACTTTGAAGCTGGTTCGATCAGTGACGGGACATCAATTTTACCACGCTTCCATTCCGTGGAAATCTTTGACCTTCGCCTTCCAATTGATAAAACTCTTCAGATTCTAGGCACCGACCTCGATGAACCGTCTTGTCGTCACCGGAGGTCAGTTAGGAAGCGAATCAGTCTAAAAACGTGATTAGTAATCTCTTTGCAATTGATTTCACCTCAAACTATCCAGTACCACCGTACATGATTCCTCCGAAAAGTGGATTCCTAAGACAACCACTTGAGCAGCCTGAAACGACTTGAAGATGCGCTACCACAATTCTAGTACAAGTCGCTGGTTTGAGACCTAGCATATAGAAAATGTGTTAAGCTGTCAATGGTCGAACTTCTTATTGTTTTCACTTAAATTGGATCGAATTTGTAAGTTGGGAAGGCTGAGACAGTCCACAAGACTGCCTTCAATCAATTTTGATCGATAGTCGCACCACCTAGATACGTATCTATCGACTTCTCAACTTACTTGTTGTACTTGCTTGCCAATGAATCCACAATCATACTGCTCCGAGGGCCATCGGAGGGCTTGGATTCAGTAATATGAATGCACAAGAGTTTGAAGCTTTCGAAACTTTTGAAGAGTCCTTTCAACATTGGGAAGGGTGGGCTACGGGATGAAATTTTCCGGACTGGGGTCCACAACTGACCTCTATCAGTGACCCGAGCAGGGAGGGAGTACATCTTACCTTAACTGCATGTGTAACGTGGTCCAACATTCTGGATACACCAGAGGGAAGGTGGACGCATGGTTGACCAGCTGAGCTGTAAAGCTGATAATGTCTTGCAAGAAAGAAAATTCGATTTGGTTCAGGGTCGTCGTCCAAGAAGAAGAAGCAAATTTACCCATTTCCTTTCCATCTCTCTCTCCCTCTTAAAAGCTACCAACATGTAAGCAGCAGTAAAGAGTGGAATTTCTGGTGAAACAGGAAAAGGTATCTCCGTTATTCAGACAGACAGGCAGACAGATATTGAGACGGTGTGCATCCTTATACGACAAAGTGCTTCCAATAAAAGCTCGAGGTGTCCGAAAAGAGAAAAGAGGGGGAACAAAGTAAGGACAACCACAAGTAAATATGTTTGACGCAGATTCTATAGAACTAGAGTGAATGGAACTGTAAAGATGGCAAAAACTGCTTCAACCAAAGCCAAAGTCCGGCCGATCGAATCCATTCTCAGCATTCTTCGATTTTGTATCATCTGTCTTGTTGTTTGTTTGAAGTAGCAGTCAGTTTGAAGCAGGCATTTTACTGCGATGAAAAGACTTGGGACAACATGCTTCCATTGCCCGCACTCGGATCTGGACCTGAGGGCCCACGACCTACATCTATATCTCTAGACCCCGGCTGCTAGCAGGTCCCCAAAGTGACCTTTCTCGATTCACAACCATGGACACCTACTCTCACCACCAGAAGATCGCCCTTCTGCTCAAGGATTATCCAAATAAATATCTCTTTGTGTTAAAGCCCTCCCCTGGTGTCATTCATATTCAGCTTATCAGCTTATCAGCAGCAGCAGCACTGAAATTACTGTCCTGGAGCAAACGGAGAGTCCTCGGACGAAAGCTACCTGCAGCACTCCTCGCAAACTCGGGCCCCTAGTCCCTATCCACGTAGTAGGTCAAGGGAAGTGAGTGATCCAAATTATCAAACCACCAGGAACATGGAACCCAGCCATGAAAGCCTCTCCCGGGCAAAGGTCTGCAAAGGTGGAAGCCCCACGCACTCGGGGGATGGCATATGCTGGTGAACATCACCGAGAGAGAGAGAGAGAGCGACCGAGTCAGTGGGGCAGATTCGAAGGCAGGAGGAGTTGAACTGGAGGGACGTTACCATGAGACAGTTCCCAGCGTCCGGGGATGGACTCGGTAGAGAGCGTGCATGGTGACGAGATGGAATTATTTGTCCCTTGCTGAGACGAAGCTCGAGGGGAGAGGTAAGGTTAAGGTCAAGGCTCTCAAGGCAGGGAGGGCATGATACTAGCAATGGATCCGAGAAAAAAGAGGGAATGCCGGAGAAGAAAGAGATGGCTGTGTGGAGCCCAGGGCCCAATGACGGGCCGCAATAGTCCTCTGTGCTGGGTCGGACTTGATTGTGCAGAGTTTGCAATGATCAGTAGAATCTCCAGCGAGCCAGCTGCGCTGCTCTGCCCGCTGCTTTCAATCGTCAAAGCGCGGCACAAAAGGGAAAGCAGAGAAAATCATAGAAAAACTGGAGGATGGAGGAGGGGAGTGGCCTGCCGTAGTCCCTGTTGAGCTAGAGCCAGCAGGGGTTACAACTTTTTTGTGCTCATTGGCACGAGATGGACTGTAAACAATGATAAAGTGGGGGTTCCGAGTGGGAACCCACCACCACTGCGGGGGTCCGATGCTTCCGGTGAGGGGCAGCTAACGGACCAGTCGACTGACTAAATGGAATTTGCACTGCGATTAGACACCTGAGGCATGGACGGACTCGCATTCTGCTCGGAATGGATGAGCCTCAAGCGGTCGAAACTCGACTGATATATTCTACGTTTCCCTGGCTTTGCACTGAACAAAGATAGAGATATAATGTGCGATTAGCGTCTCACGATCTGCACGTTCGGTGCCCGAATCGGAGATCCAGAAACCCGAATCTGGGCATCTGTTTTCAGGCATTAGTTTTCTGCTTCGCTCATGGCGGCGAACCGGTCTCCATGTTCGTTCCATCTTCAGAGGTCGCACTAGATAAGCTGATTCGAATTCTGCCAAGCGCTTAGAGTAAATGGCCGTTCCCAAACTAGCAGCAGACGAGCTTTAAGGGATTGTGTGCTTTTATGGCAAGAGGGCTCCGGGTTGAGCACTTTCATGCACACGCACACTTCCGTAAATGCTTTGGAGAGTAGGGAGAAGAGGCCACAGGTCGTCAAAATTGGGAACAGCAGCAGCAGCAGATCTGTGCAGGATTGATCAAAATTTTTTGACAGTCTTCCCGTGAGGTTTCATATCGTCTCTCCTCCTGTCTGTCTGTCTGTGTCTCTGCTCGTCATTTATTACCTTGCCATTCTCTCCCACTCTAGAGGTGGTGAGCTCGTGAAGGTGGTGAGCTCGACTGAAGCGGTCGATGATCCGAACATCCAAATGGAAGGATCGTAACTTCAGATCTAAGCATTGTGCAGGACTTCCTCCCTTTCTTATTGTAAATTAGAGGAGTGCTGACGAGTGCAGTGGTGGCAGCAAGCCAGCCGGTGCGGAGGCGCGCAACAACCAAATCCGACCGACCGACCGACAGGATTGTGGAGAATTCAACCCCATTAAAATTTCCATCACCTCATTGAAGGCACGAGGGCTAAGGAGGCGAAGTTTATTGCGTGTGCGTTGTTGTTGTACTGCACGTAAACATACATGAGCACGTGCCTACAACAGCAACACGGTTAGAAGTATGACATTCTGTTCCAGGCCCAGATGTATCCTCGTAATTTTCTTGTGGCTGGGCGCATCGTCATCATCATCCTTCACAGGAATCCGCGCTGAAGAAGAAGAAGAACAACAACGTCATGGGGTGACTTCAACTCCAACGTTTACAGCAGCATCACCTACTGCTTCTCTCCATCACCTTCCTCCCAACACTACGACGACGACGACTCTCAACCAGGAATCCAGAGCAGGCGTACTACTGGAAACCTCGCCCATCACCTTGCGAGAAACGCAGATGCTGCTAGAGTTTCAGCAGGGTGTGACCAAAGATCCCAGCAGCAAGCTTGTAAATTGGAACCTGACGGTGCAGCCAAATATGTGCAACTGGACAGGCATTGTGTGCGATGTGGGTCAGGAGTATGTGGTCACGTTGAATCTGACGGGCAACATTTTGGAGGGCTTCATCTCTCCCGTGCTCGGAGGTCTGCAAAATCTCGAAATCCTCGTACTGTCCGATAACAAGTTCGCGGGCAACGTTCCATCATCTCTGAGCGCGCTTAGGTATCTGACGCATTTGGATCTTTCGAACAACGATCTTCAAGGTACCCTTCCTCCCGAAATTACCAACTGCACTGCTTTGGTATACTTGGATCTTTCGAACAACCTCATTGTTGGGTCTATCCCTCCAGACCTAGGAAACTTGGCGAACCTGGAAAGCTTGTTCTTGAACGGCAACGACTTCACAGCTGCGATACCACGCTCGTTGGGCAACTGCTCTCGTCTCTCATCAATTAACCTGAGTGGGAACAACCTCGTTGGCCCGATTCCCTTTGAACTGGGTCAATTGGCGAGCCTCGATCTTCTGATTCTGTCTCAAAATAATCTCACTGGTATGATACCAACCTCGATTGCAACTGGTTGCCTGAACTTGACCAATCTCGACTTGAGTTCCAACAAGCTCAACGGAGGAATCCCACCTGAATTGGGACAGCTTCAAATGCTCAAGGTTCTCAGGTTGCAAGGGAACAATCTGACCGGCCCGATCCCAGATACTCTAGGACTTTGTCAATCTCTCACGGACCTGATTGTGGGACCCAACCCACTGACAGGAAGGATACCTCTGGAGCTCGGCAGATTGAAACAGCTGACGAGTTTGGTGATCACCGGTACTGACATCACAGGTTCAATCCCTTACACTCTGAGCAACTGTACAAACCTGAGGAGACTGCAACTCTTCAGCAATCAGCTCAGTGGCACTATCCCGGCCGGTCTGGGTAAATGTACGAATCTTACCGTGTTGGAACTCGCCAACAATCAACTCAGCGGCCCAATTCCGAGTTCTTTGGGCAATTTGATGAATCTGGGCCGACTGGACGTCAGAAGCAATCAACTCACCGGCATCATTCCTCCCGAATTGGGCCAACTGAAGGCTCTCGTCGAGCTGCACCTCTCTGATAACAATCTCAGCGGCCCACTCATCACCGAAGTCGGACTACTCAAATCCATCGAGAAGCTCAACCTCAACAACAACTTCTTCACCGGCAAGCTACCCCTATCGCTGAGCAATTGCGCCACGATCATCGAGCTCAATCTCTCGGAGAACAATTTCTCAGGGCCCATTCCGGGGGACATCATTACTGGCCTTCGAGCTCTCTCCTACTTAAGTCTGGAGAACAACCAGCTCTCGGGCCCCATTCCCACGGAGCTCGGCAACCTGGAGTTCATAATCGTCATCGATCTGTCTGTGAACAACCTCACTGGGGACATCCCTGTCATCCTCGGCAAATGCAAGGGGCTGGTGCTGTTGAACGTATCCAACAACCATCTGACCGGCGAGCTGCCTTCGAGCCTAGCTCCTCTGCCGATTTTGACTCAGTTCAGCGTGGCATACAACGACCTTGTGGGCCCGATTCCTGTGAATGGATTTTTCGCTAACTTGACAGAAGCATCGTTTGTGGGTAACCCGGGCCTCTGCGGCCCTCAGGTCCAACGAAATTGTACAGGGCCCTATCAACGACCGTGCAGCGGGCTCAAGTGCCATCGAAAGTGGGTCTACGTGGTCTCGGGTGCAGCTGGATTCGTGCTCGCGCTGGTGGGATTGGGGATTTTCTTGTGGATGAGCGGAGAGAAGAAGAAGTGCGTCACCAGCACGAGGAAGGAGCTCGGCATCTATACGACGCAGATGAAGGTGACGGCCGAGGACTTGTGGGCGTCGACCGAGGGGTTCAGCGAGACCAACATTCTGGGTGTGGGCGGGTACAGCACGGTGTACAAGGGAGTTCTGCCCGGGGGCATGGCCATCGCCGTGAAGAGGCTGAACATGGACAGGGAAATTTCCAACGAACACGATTTGACTCATGAGCTGCAGATCCTCCGCAACCTTCGGCATAAAAATCTGCTCAAAGTGTACGGCTTCGTGGCGACTCCAGAACTCAGAGCCCTGGTCATGGAATTCGTTCCCAATGGCAGCTTGCACGTGCAGCTCCATAAAGGTGAGACTTGCGGTCTCAGTTGGGAGACCAGGCTTAACATTGCCATCGGTGTCGCCGACGCCATGATTCACCTCCACCATGAATGCCACGAGCCCATCATCCATCGTGATCTTAAACCGAGCAACATCCTCCTCGATCCCGACTACAACGCCCGGGTCGCTGACTTCGGCATTGCCAAGAACGTCCACTTCGACGGCAATGGCGAAACCACCGTTTCCGGCCTCTTCGGTACGACGGGATACATCGCTCCAGGTACGTCGTCCATCACACGTCATTAAACTTCTCATTCAGCCGGGATTAATTCTTTTCGATCCAACTTCATCCCTTATCTGACCTTAATTCCTTCCTTAATTCCTTCTCGAGAGCTCGAATCTGTACAAGACCCGCGGCACGTGGATCATACATTCGATTGAACGACCAGGACTCGAGATTTTCTCGATATTTCTTGGTAGATTTGCGTGTGGAATGCGGATAGTTCGTCAAGCTCGACGCCTCAAGGATTTCTGGGGCGGCCGAATGGGAATGCCGATCGACCGACGTACGAGAAAACTTGCCATTTTCTCGAAGCCTGGGAAGCACTCGCCATCGCCAGAACCTCGAGAACCCCGTCCCTGACCCTCCCCCCAATCTACACGTTCGGACATTCGAACTTTCCCCAGAATTCGAATCCCCAACGGGAGCACCGCGCCGCGCCTCCCGCACAGACGTTGCGAGCTGTTCCATCTTTCTCGTAACGCTCTCTCGCTTTCTCGCTCGCTCGCATAGCATAGCGCGCGAAGTCCGTACCACCGCGTACGGACTACACCCGCCGGGCAAGAGCCTTGTCGGCCCCGGCGGCCGCAGTCGAGCCCGAGGGAGGGTCTCGCCGAGGCCCCCATCGTCGCCGGCGCTCGGCACGCCGGCGAACGACGGGCAGGGTTTCAAATACGGGAGCGTTGTGTGTGTTGGGGGGAGTGTGGGGGTTTGGGTTTGAATGTGGAACGAGTGTACTGAACGGGTGTAACGGGCGCGGGAGCAGAGTACGCGACGTCGAACAAGGTGTCGACGAAGGGAGACGTGTACAGCTACGGGGTGGTGATCCTGGAGATGCTGACGAGGAAGCAGCCGACGGACGACACGTTCACGCCCGGCACGTGGCTGTCGCTGTGGGTGCTGAAGGCGTACCCGGACCGGATCAACGATATTCTGGACTCGAGCCTCAAGGGCGTGTACCGGAGCCAGGAGAAGGAGATACACATGCTCATCCGCATCGGCCTGCTGTGCACGCGCGACGTGCCCCACGACCGCCCCTCCATGAAGGACGTCCGCGACATGCTCACGCAGCTCAAGCACCCGAGCCGCCTCTCCATCAGCGCCACCTCCTACCCTTCCATGTCCGAGCTCGCAGACATTCACGCCGGCCGCTTCCATGGCCCCTACCCCCTGCACCTCTCGAGCTACGACACAGGTTCGCAGCACTGCTCCCAATTTGATGACTTGCGCCTCACAATGCTCGATCATTGAGATCGAATCAGAAGAGAAGAGAAGAGAAGTGGAGTTTGATTGATGGTGACTGACTGATCTGACGCTTTGTACTCACAAAAGGGCGGGATGGGGGCTTTTTGTAGATTCGTCTGAGACATCGTATGCTGACTATATTCCCTCGTCGATTGCTGATGTCGGCGCAAGATGATGAGAGGTTTCGAATGAGATTTCGAAGCTCCCTCTCATCAGAGTCAGAGTCAGAAGTGCTTCTGTCTGATCGAACTCGTGCGACGGTGTTGTTTTCTTTCCGTTGTGAGTCTGCAGGTTCGGGCTGTAACTCGACGGGCAAAAAGTCCACAGGCGGCAAGAAAGGTCGTTGGAGTTCCGGAAAGCAGCGCAGTTGACGGAGTGACTTGTGTCTTTTCCAGCTCCCCCTCTTCCATGTCCTGCCAGGTGATTGCAGCGTCGAGCAGCTCACATCAGCACAAAGAAAGAAGAAGGAGAATGAATGTTGCTGTAGTTAATTTGTTGCTACTACAGAAGCCAGCTAGTGCTGCTGGTGACGGTCAAAATTGTGGCGGCTCGGACTGACGAATGATGAAACGTCATTGACTACAACCTGACGTGTGATGCAAAGATCGTTCTCGCCTACATCAGAACTCCACCTCAGTATCGTCGATCGAGCATCTCGGACAGGACAGTTCGCGTCACAGGAACTAAATTCCTCTGAAATTTTTTTACTTGAGGTCGTGTACAGCGGACTTCCTTTGAACATCAGTTCTCTTCCACAAAGCTAGGCTAAGCTCTATCGTGTGTCAAGAATTACACACCGGAGCAACAGAGTGGATCTACAATTTCGGAGCCTGCGAAGATCATGCTTCCCGTTTCCAACTATGCTCAGATGATGATCTCCGACTCCGAATTCGAAGTGTGCAATGGGACAACTTATTCTGAAACTGGCGCAAATGTCAGCAGATCTCGGAGGAAGTTTGATCGACCGTATTCAATTCAAAATCGACCTTCTCGATCTATTCTTTGCCAGTAGCGTTCCTGCGTCCCACAAACATGTACACATAATAAGTTTAAATTTTGGCCACTTCGTTGCGGTGCGGTGCGTCAGTGGAAACCTGCAGCTGCACCGCATGCACGCATGTACGTATGCTTTACAACTCAAAGAGTAGCATACCTTTCTTGGATTCACCTGTAGACAAATCAAAGTAGCTAGAAACCGTACTCTTTTGTCCAGTACCTGTGCATGCTCTCAATTCGAAATCGATTGTTAGCAAATTCATTATAGATTCTTAGACAAATTACTGTAGGATTTTACCATAGGCCATCACGCACATGCAGCAGATCTAGATAGAAGTGTGTGTATGATCACATTCACATTCTTTTTGCAATCGCCCGAATTACATGTCACTTCGGCCATTGTTATAAAATTGAATAATTTTTAAAACGAAAAGAACGGAAGGCTTCTCAGATACTTACAAGAGCAAGAAGAAAAAAAATATATCACAAACTTGCAGCGACAAGAGATGTTTTCCTTCGAATCCTTGTGAAGTTATCATGAAAAGTCCTTCATTCAAAAAAGAGAAGAAATGTTTATCCTCGCCTTGTGACTACTGGAGCTGATTCTTTGACATAGTTGTTTCTTCAAGCAGGCTCCTATCAGTTCGTTGTCCATCCAACTTGTAGAATCAAAGGTATGTGCAGTAGCCAACGTCTTGTTGCTGAGAACATTGAGAATATTGATCAATTTGACTCTCGAGTTCTTTCGTAAACATTTGAGCTGAATTACAAGCGATTTATCGGGCCTTGTGACAGCACTTCTTCCAATACAGTTTGAACCTGACGCAAGGTAATCACTTCTAAATCCTCGAAGGGCAGGTCTGTAACGTGTTCGTATTATTCATTAAACTGTTGAACATTATACTGTCCTTGTTGAACTTGTTCAACAATTTTATAATTTCTCCCATTGACGCTCTTCTCTGATGATTCAGGGGTCCCTCTAAAGGTGAACTTGACGCACAGGAAGGATTGAAAACTGACGTACAATTATTAAACTTGTAGCCTGAGGACGGAAATGTAGGGGTCGTCCTCATGTTTTATATTTGGCTCCATACTTTGCGTGGTACATAGCTACTGGAAAGAACTGTTCACTGGAAGCCTTCAAAACTAATATGTTCACATGCATGGAGAGCATGGGATCGTGGCACGGTTATTGACTGACTCACTACAGTAGTATGCCGAATCGCATCATTTGAAATATTTTCTGTTTTATAATACCGTATCAACAATACTTGTATTAACATGTAATGTATCGTCCCTGCGTGGTCTATCCCCTCTAATAAGTTTCACTCCGGTGGTTCTCAAGAGCTTTGGTGTGCTGTACACGTTCTGCATATACCTTCTCCATTCGGAGAACATCGTTGGAAGGTAATATCCAGTCTAGTGAAGATCCGTCGTTTCCAGGGACTTTTAGTTATTCTTCAGATACTCTGTATCGATTTTGTGTTCAGGAAGATTGTATCTTAGTCCAAGGTGACAGGAAAGTACGAACAAGGTGGTCTAATGTTACTTCCACGGTTAATTGCCTTCTAAACTTTGGGTGGTGTGTGGATATGGACAGGATTCCACAGCTAGAGGGTTACATTTATCGAACATAGATTTTCACCAAGTTAACGCTGCGCGTCTGTGCCTGTGCAGGACGTTACTGCGGTTTGATTCGTCTCCAATCCTCTAAGTTTTCTTCACACAGCGCGCGTAGATGCAACAGTCGCCTGTGATGTGTCACCAGCTGCTTCCCCTTGCTGTCAGTAGACAAAATTTGCACATTTCAAACTCAACGCGATTTTGTTTTCTCTATTTTCAACTTGAAGAGTAATTAGGTGTGTGTGTTTCTGAATTTGGTTTCTTCCACTATTTTTCCTCAAGCACTGTCATTTTTAGTAAAGTATCATATCGACACTGAACTCAGGTGAGAAACTTGCATCCTTGATTTGTCTACTGCAAGTACACGGCCTAGACGTGACTTCTCCGTACAGTGCGCATTAGTGATTAAAGGCTGTAGATCCTGTCAACAACGGTTCAGTCGCCATTAAAATTTTACTTAACAGACGACATAAGCAAAAGAGAAAACTGCATCTTGCAGTTCCATGCAATTGACTGCCACGGTTCAACAAAATAAGATGGTAACGCTTTGTTCTTCGAGGGACAAGATCAAAAAGGGTTGTGGAGAATCCCCAAGAAATGATTTATTCGTACATCGATCCCTTTTCTTTAAGTAGAATTGTACTACAGACAGCCAGGTCCTCATCAGACATCAGCCCTTCGACCCTAGCTGGGGCCATCACTGACATCAATTGATGTAGTACCATCTTGATATTGAAGCAAATGGCAGCCTTCTGTCAATTTCCTGGCAATGGGCTCGAAGCGTCTTGGTGCCAAAATCTGGTTGTAAGGGAGTACTTACAGCCAGTGTTACACTAGCCGGTTCTCCTAGTTGGTAACACATCCAGCAGTTCCTACTGAATCCAATTCAAATTTAAGCGCCAGGAGATACAGTCGATACAGAGACTCAACTCCGAATGACGTAACATTAGATCGACTGTCGAAGACTCTCAGGTCAGCTTCTTCGATATTTCCATAAAAAGTAAGAGTTTCTTGTTCCTGTTACTAAGAATAAGAATCTACCACCCAGATACTTTTGAGATCTTGCATGAAACTAACCTTGTCATATCACCATTTTACCATTGTACTGGATTTTGGAACTAGAAAAGCCTCTTGATATTAGACATGGAAACAAGAGCTTCCAGACTTCTAAATAACGTTTTCGTGAACGCAACCTAAATCCTCTCCTTGAACTGCCGTGAGGAACCAAAACTTTGGGAACAATTAAAATGTTTTACATCTGTCAAAAAATTGCAACTCACATACTACTGACAGGAATTATGGTGTGTGAGTGTTTGCCTGGATTGGAACTGGGCAATAACCCACCAAAACCAGATTGATTCAGACGGCTATAGGGCCAAACCTTCATCCCAACTTATGCCAAGGACAGCTCTCCCTTGGGTACGGACCTTTTCACCAGATTGGCCCAGGCATTGTTGGTCTCAGCGATCACCTTCAATGCATACTCCTGCACGAGTCACGACAAGGACACGGGATTTTAATTTTCACAACATTGACAGCCACGACTTGCAGCAACGAGCCCATGTGGGCCAAAGACACGGAGAGTATAGACCATCACTTCATGTGCTGATTTCACCAATCACTGAACAACGGGTCGGGTAAATTTACTGTACATCAAGCTTAAAACGGGGCACAGAATGACTACGACATCCTACACCAGAGTAGAAAGATTACAAACCTAGCAGGTTTGGACTAAAGAGTCGAACTTACTTGGTCGGCAGGTTTGTTGTCAAGACCAAATCTGTTTGCTGGCTTGCCATCAGGAATTTTGTAGTCCCTGAACCAATTTCTTATGGCTGTCAAGGTACCCTGTTCACAACACCGGGCAGTCAATCCTCCATCTCACGCACTCAACAGGTGAAGTGATGACTTCTTTGTTACTCAAGGTGGTGCAAATGCTAGAATTGAAGTGCACTCACAATCCCAGCTCCGTGATACAAAGTCTAGGTACGTACCGGAAAGTGCTTCTCAACATCTTCCATAGTGTTCACAAGTTTTGCCTTGGGGTCGTCCACTGAGATCGCCACGACTTTCCAGTCCAGCTCACCTTCATCGATCATAGCCAACACAGCCAACGGCTTCACCTTCATCACCTCTCCGATCTTGGCTTGCCTCTCCCCAATTTCCACGACGTCCACTGTCATAATAAAACGATAAGAGAAACAAAACCATGGACAGAGGAAGTGAGCAAAATACACTGTTGAAGTAACCGTTTCTGTAATACAGGCAGGCCATCCATTGGTCTTGATACCCTATCTACAGCAGGACCAATTTCACCAATCAGCTTGAATCCAGACAATAGTTGACAGAAGACACGCAAAATATTCTCCACAACCCCTACTTTTGCAGGTAAGCAATGCTTCAAATACCTGGATCGTTGTCTCCAAGACAACCCTCGATTTCAGTGTTGGCGTGGGTAGGGTCCTCCCATGTTTGTGGTAGAAGTCCGTAATTCCAGTTGATGTTGTATCTGTTCGTTCAAAACGAATATCAGATCACAAGCTTACCCTGGGAGGATTCCAATCTCCAAAAGGAAACTGCCTCTTCGTTCCGTGACTTACATCGTGGCAACTGAATCGTTTTAAAGGTCTTAGACAGCAAAACCTAGACACTGAAAGACAGAATGGAGAATCTTGGTTCATCTCTCAGTTCCTCAAAACAGATGAAGAGCGTCAATTTTGCCGAAAGAGGGGTGGAGAAGATCCAGAAGTGGAGAGGAGAAATAGGTCGAGACTGCACGCATTAGGACTGGGTAAGGGACCGAATTTATATACGTACGGGTAAAACCTAAGCTTCCCCTTCTTTGTGTCCTGCTTGATCGGGGTGTTAGGCTCGTCTGTGGCCACCTCCATCTTGGCACTCGTCTCCTTGGGAATTTCCACGATGAAATTGTACAGACCATCTCCAGCCTTCAAAGGAATATCGTGCCACGGAGAAATCTGGACATATTTGCACACGCACAAGTTGTCATTCTCCGCAGTAAGGTCTCCTTAGGCAGAAGGATTTACAACAACAAATTGAACTCCAGTCGGTGTAGGCCAAAAAACGATGTCAATTTCAGACAGAGACTTAGACAACAGACAAGGCCTCCTTAATTTCTGACCTACGAATTTCAGCTAGTTTCCTGTAGTAGCCTCGATCCCATGACTTGACCGAGCAGTGAATGTTCCCCTTATCAGAATCTGTCGTGCGAAGTTCTCGGAATTCAGGTAGTCTCAAAATCAAATCCAGACACATCGTGAGCAGCTAGAAAACTCCGCGGCCCGAAGGCGAGAGCTTCACTACGCCACGGGTGGCTAATAGTGACGGAGCCAATTTCGACATGGGAGTCCTTCCTTGTTCGGGTAAATAAATGAAAGGAAGTCTCAAACCTGAAGGCAATTCTTGCGTATGTCGAGAACATGATTTTGAATCAGTGATCATTGATAGCGGTGAGAGGCCAAGAAATGCGGGCAGAACATACCGTGTTGCCCTCCTTGTCGGCGAAGTATACACGGTACTCGAGAGACTCGGGTTTGCCGTCTTCCTTAACATAGTAGTCTCCTCGTTGCAGAGCTCGAACGCCATGGATGCGGCGTCTCTGGAGAACAACGACGGATTGTTGCTGTCCGGAAGACTGAGTAAAGAGCTTTCCTTTCGATCCCAGGAACGGAGAAGCAGCGACTTGTGCAGAAGACACCGCCTTCACAGCGGAGGAGGAGCGCAGGGCCCTGGGGGCGGCGACATTGCCCACCGCCGCTCTCAACGCTGTGGCCATTGCCCAAATCTTCGATGTCCTGAATCTGTCACACAGTCCGGTCCTGCTCTGCAACTCTTCCTGCAATGTGGAAAATGATGCAAACAGATGGTGGGCTTTTGTTTCCAACTTCCGCCCTCTCTTTCTCTATTCCTTGCCCTCCCAAACTCGAGACCAACGAACCAGCCAACCAACCAACCACCAATCGATCGACCCTGCCCTGCCCTGCCCTGCCCCTCCCTTTCCCCTGGCTCCAACTACACCCCAACTTGAAACCAGGGCCTCTCCTTCAGATTCCCCAATTGTTCTGCGTATCGATAGCGTTTGCAAATTGGAACCTTGTCACTTCTCTCTTTTGTCCTGGGCGAGAACTCCCATGGCAGCCAGTCACTCGCTTTTTCCTCTATTTGTAGGTGCAATGCACTTGACTAAAGAAATGGTGCGGGCGTGGCTTTTCAGCCACTAATCAGGCGATCCGGCCTCCCCCATTCCATTTCCTTCCCTTCCCTGCCTTCTTGCTGATGCAAGCCCGATGCAAGCGGTTGTGGTGCTCTCCAGTGGTGGTCCCCTCCAGATTCATCTTTGACCTTCATAGTTGACGACTTTACATCCAATTTCTTCCGTGATCAGTTGACCAACTACGATTTCCTCCGAATGGAGGCGGACGGAACGCAAGGGAAGGGACGGGAAGTGAAGTTACGGAGAGGTATGGACTCCCGGAGGGTGGAATTGGAGGGACTGCAGTAGAGAGCGAGGAGGACGAAGGGCGGGATCTTTCCGTATCTCTGAGAGGCATCCGTCCCACAACAGAGATCACGACACACTAACCACACAAACGCAGATCAAGTCATCCAATTGCAGGCCACACAAAGTTTCCAGTCTGACTGAGTACGACGGACGGAAGGTTTGTGAGATTGGTGCTCGAGGTTAGTTAGGGCGTGGTGCGTTTACTTGAAATTTGTTGCTCTTCTTCTCGTCCTCTTGCTTCTTGGCTCCTGGCATTTCTCGGTGGAATTTGGCCCGAGCGCATGCACGCACTTTCACCAGAGGATCCTCCCCTCCCCTCTCCCGAGCATTTACATCCATTCCATTCGCCACCGTCCGTCAAGACCTTGTCTCCTCGATCTGCCTCTGCGCGTGTGAACGCTCACGGGCCTTTTCCTGTTCCGTAACCGGACTGGCTGACGAGTCTACGTCTCAGGCTCTTCATGAAACACGATGGAACTCGGTCTTCCTCTTGATCCGGAATCTCCACGGAATTTAAGTCCGTGGATCCTCATTGGGTGATTGGAGCAAGTCATCGGATCAGAATTCTCATTTTCCGGCATGCACGGTATCAGCTGAAACCTCCTGAGAAGCAATCATGACATCGTTGTTTTCAGTTATACCTTTCTGAGGCTCGTGCTTTCTGACCTTTGAGCAAAGTCGCGCTCTCCACATGAGAGAAGACGAGATTCTTCATCTGTGTTGAATCTGAGTCTAAGAGTTAGGAACCTACAAGGCGGAAACCATCCACAGGTTTAATGACCCAGGCCTTGAATTGTTGATAGACACATCTTGAAATCTTATATGCACAAGTAAATGGCGAGGTGACGGCGACTCTTCATCACGATAGCAAACAGAACCAGAAATCAGATCATTACTTTTACAGAAGATATAGCCACCTTTTATAACTGGCTGTCTTTTCTATATCTTAAGCAAATTTAAAAGTCGCGGGATCGATAGTCTACGGATGAGCTTTACCGTTTCCAGTCAATCGACCATAAGTTTAGGAAAGGCAAATCCAGATAAGTAAGTGTCGGCCCGACAGTCTTCCCTCTGTCGCATTCAAGCTTTTTGACTGTGGACATGTATAAGGAGAGTTCCTATTTATATGACTAACGGGCCCTCGTACATTTATATAATGCAGAATTCATCATAAGTCGCTGACCCTCTGCGACCCAACAGCTTTGATTTCCAGATTTGAAGTACAACTCACTCCTTCTGCTGTGTTGATAGGTTCCAAGTATCCTCCTTTAAAGGGTTTGGATGTTCCAGTAGCAAGGAAGCCGGGGAGGACCAAAGAGACAAATCTGCGAAGGTGAAAGGTAGTATAAGTTTACCTCACGAAGCCCCAGTTTGTTCGACGGAAAATATGAGATCCAACGGAATTGGACGAGCACATTCCTTCCAACAACTGACGTCTTCCCGTGTATATCTGCACTGTCAACGTATCAAGCGCTGTCTCCGTATCGAGACAACTGGGTAGTTCGTTCACCATGCTGGTGCCCTCGATGCTGATACGATCGTCCATCAACGTACGCACGAGGACCATTCCAAGGTGCTGTGATTATCACATCGTTGGAACCGTTGTGACTGAGGCGACTGCTCAGCTCTCTTAGTGTATAATGCTTTACAATTCGATGGCCAATCAGGTATGCGAGCAAATATCTTCGAACGCAGTGACTAGCTTGTCGGATAGGTGGCGTAATGATAAGCACTGTAGCCGACCATCACGAGGTGTCCATAATTCATAAAGCCATGCCTTATTATACGGCATTGTTCAATTTGCATACACAGCTGTTATCTCGGTTCATTCAGGATCTGGTGAGAAAGCCACTGATGACATAAGTGAGGCAATCACCAGAATGTTGTTTCAAGAAAGCGGTGAATTACCCATGTGGCAAAATGCTGCACATATGTATAGCAAGGACAAGGCCTGCCCGTCGTGACACACAATTCGTTCCAGCTATCGTACAAGGAGTTCTTGAATCTATCTAATTATTGTGAACAATTCAAGCTATACAGAGACATAAGGCCCATGCTATTCCCTTCTGATCTGCACATGGGCACGACAAACCGACCCATGGACATAGCCGCATTTACCCGGTGAGCTTGAAAGATGACACGACCTGCAAGAGAAGAAAACACCTATCAGGTTTGAATGTGTGAGTGACTTACTCTTTGTTTCGTCTAGAAGCTAGTGTACGATAAACAATGTACAGATTGGCGACGAGATTCTCTCAAGATTCACGTCTTCCCGATTGATATTGAACTTCAGAGTATGAAACAGAGAGCAAGAGAACTTATTACAAAGTCAGTTCAACCCACTGTAGAATCTCTTTACTGGAGGATTCCTCCCTTCATTGATGTCCTCTGTCGTTATCAACTACATGACAGATGCATTTCATGTTTGGAACTTCTGGACATCATCTTGCCAATTCAAACAGACTGAATATATGAACATCATGGCGCCATTCGAGACGGAGTGGATGCTTTAGATGTAGAAATAGTTACCTTCTTCAGATTCGCTTTGTACTTGTCGGCATCGTCTTCCCAATACTGAGAATACCAAAGACCAGGCATATGATCAGGTTTGGATCTATCAATCCGATTGTGGTCCAGACACAATGACAGTGGATGAATTGATTGTTACGATGCACCAAAATCCTAGGCCCTGAGAAGAGTGTATTAGATAAACGTGTTAGTTAGGGTTTAAGTGAGGCACGGTATGGAGGTGTACCTGGGCCGTCACGGTGTACAAGCGATTGATCCACCCATTGTTAGCTATACCAACCACCGACAGAAGATGACGTTTGGCCTCTCCAGGCTTTTGTACAGTGTACTCCACATAATACATTCCTGCCAGCGTGATGAAGTTCCAAACATGACAGTGAGATTCAGGCTCAAACCCCGGCTAATATTGTTAGTCTAGACTTCATAGTCCTTCCAAGTCACGCTCGTAGACGACAATTGTGGACATATATGCCCCAAACCCTGCCGCTTTTGATAAAACTTGAACATCAAACAAGTTCCAAAAGCTGCCCACCTAGCTGGCAGTCACAAATGTATGACGATGGCAAAGCATGGTGGAGAAGAGTCAGGAACACTTGGATGAGGATAACACATTTCAAAGGGTCAGGGTTCAGGGTGTCATCATACCATTCTTGTATGAATCGTCTATCAATGTAGCTTTCTGACCAGGAGGCCTCTGCCACGCCCTGTCAAGACTGTTAACCTGTAACACAATCGGAGACAGCGTCAACTTCCTTGTTATTGCATACCAGATAAACACGGCATGTTGTTGTAGCACCTTCCAGTGAACGATAAGGACTTTAATCACCTCATTCAGAAAAACGTTGCACCGTAAGATACTGACAAGTCTTGGCATCTGATATTGGATAGCTTTAGACCCATCTTACCAAATTCTCAGCGAACATGTCAGCGTTTCCAAAAGAGCCCAACTGTGTGTAGTCTGCTCCCAGCCCGGTAATGACAACGTTGACTGCACGATAATAACAGTGGAACAAAGCATTGATTAGGAACTCTTGAAACAACAGCTTCATCGTGTGAAAACTTGACTGACTTGCTCGAACGGTCTCTATGATGCAGTCGACTTATGAAAAGCTTTCATCACCACTGTTGGTGACCAAAGACTAGACCTTGTAATTTGGTAGATCTACAGAATAGAGGGACATGTAGTAATGCTGTTAGAGTTCAACTGACCATTAGTAGCACTGCCGCTTTCTGGGTAGAAGGCAGTAACTTTTCTTTGGGCTGTCTCGCCCTCTCCTTTCGCCCACTCTGCAGAATTTGGAAACCAAAAATTATATATACTTTTCAACATACTTAGCGGCGAAAAATCTGCAACATTGAAGAACAGTTCACAGAAATGTAACAAACTTACCCTGCGGAACAAGGAGTGAATACTTGTCCGTTTCATCCTGATATAGCATGAAGCCATCTTCGGTACCTGCACAGACAACCGTCTCATCTATTACAAATGGAAAATGTGGTATCTGAGAATTCACGAATCACGCTGTCTCCCAAAGTTCGCTATCCATAATCGACGATGAACAAATAAAGATCTATGTTTTATATCTTTTCTGAAAAGGATTCCATTCAAGCCAATGGAGTCGGTACTTCTCCACAGAAGACGATTTTTAACAATTCAGCCACCAACTACCATCAAGATAAAAAAATCACCACAACTACAATTAAGGAGCTTTTTTCGTATTGAAATCTATACCAGCGACTTGTTTCATGAAACGTACTGTTTTCTGACGCGGCAATAGCAGGCAGAGCTATGGACGACATCAAAAAGGTGACGGCCTTTCCCATAAGTTCCCTCCTATCCATGGATGGAGAAGACCTGTAAAATGTCGAGAGTGAATAAATATATCACGATAGCAAACGTTCCAGAGTTTGACCCCACTTTACTCGTGAATTACAATTGAGCTGTCTACATTACAGAATCAGCAGAGAGCTAGCAAGAAGCCTTCTGTCGATACACAAAGTTGTTCCTTGATCGGCGACAGGTGAGTTTTGTCAGTGAATGAAGTTGTTGCCTTCTATTGCTTCCTACATTCAACTCCAATTTTCAGCATTCTAGTTCGGATAATTTATGGAGTCCACGACAGCTTCTTCCGCGCTCCCCACTCTTGCTTTCTAATCTGTTGCAATCACAGTTATCGACTTATATATCCACGAACAATCATTCTGTTCTCAAAGTTTCCCAAAGATCACCTCCGCAGGCTTACTCTTGAGAATCTCCAGAGAGCCCATTCGACCCTTCCGCTACTGCCGTGGAATCTGTGGGCATCCAATATGAAAAATCCTCAGCTTCCTGCTTGCGACGTTCCTAAGAGAATTTTTCCAGCTAAGTCCTATAGAAGTTGAATTGTGAATTCCCGTGCATAAATCCAACTGAGAACGACGACCAATGGCCCAATTGCAGAGCTTCGTGCGGCCACGACAGAAGCAGAAAGCAGAATTCCACCACATTCAACACTAATATGTGCCGATTTAATAAGAAGCACATTGAGAAGCACAGAAGAAGAAAGATATCATCTGAAGATGAAGAATGAGGAATCAAACAAGTCTTTTCAAGTGACAGGCCACTTACCTTCCGCAAGAGGTGCCCCAGAGCTACGCACGACAATCCTTTCCGAAACTTTATGGCTTCGAAGTGGTCCAGCAGATAATGGGCGACGCCTCTCGGAAAGGAACGAAGTTCGAAGCTCATTTTGGACAGAAGCTGATGAGAAAGATGTCGAAGGAGCGCAGACAATCGCCGACCGCGAAGATGGAACCAAAGAGGCTGACGTCGTAAGACCGGTGGCTACTGCCATGGTGAGCTCCATAGCCAGCCAGCAGCCACGAGTTCGTCTGTTGTCGAAGCTCTAAAAACTCACCACTCGCTAAAGGCTTCCGAATCCGAATTTGGAGCCGGAAATCAGACGACAAATCGAGATTTTCACGTCTCGTCTCGACGTCGCCTTTGTATAGAGCTTTTACGTGAGGTGCGAGAGCGCTTCTCCGAGTCCTGATAGAGAGAGTACACATGGCTCAGGACTGGCTGCTCTGCTCTGCTCTGCGGTGGCGGGCCCACACCAAATCTCGCTCCGCTTCTGCTTCACACACTTCTCTCTCATAAACGACCTACACCTTCACAATTATCCACGTCAACACAAGCCGTATCAATTTCTCCACATCCATGCAACAAGTTCGAGTTTTGTCTCTTTCCCTCCGTCCTCCATGGACAAATCGAGTTTCCCCAATTCATCACGTCCCCAGGACCAAGGACCGAGGACCCAGCGATTCTCCGTTTGCTTCATGTTGAACAAAACCCGAGCCGTTTGTTATGAATTCTTACTTACCATAAGAGAGACATCCACGAGATTTGCATTTGAACGTGTTTTGTTTGATTCCGTATTTTGTAGGAGAAGGTTTTCGTACGAATCGTGACCCAATCAATACAGTGATCATGTAGTTGATCACTGGCGTGTCTGTTGCCGATCTCCCTCCCTTGCAAAGCCATAGCGAACATGAGAAGATGGCTCACAAGACTTCTCGCATGTGAAGAAAATCGAAATCAACGCCCTGTTGTTTCTGTAGACTGACTGATGTCTCACTTCGCTCCATTTCTTGATGGCATTCTTTCTGCTAACTCCAAGGGTGAAAGATTACATTAGAAGAAAGGGGAGAGGCAGAGAAGAGAGCCCGCATGTCATCAACCATCGAAAGAAAGAAACGCAAGAAATGGCCGAGAAAGAACAAGCTGCGCTGCCAAGCAAGCAAGCAATTACGTTACGTAGCTTTGCATTCGGAATTCTTCGATTCTGAAAATGAAGTAACATGAGTTGCTTCATCTAATGCAATTCATGTTAAATTAGAATCAGAAACGACAAATCTGCGACGCACAAGGGAAAATTAAAACTGGAGAATGCAAATCAAATCAAATCAAATCAAACCAATGCATTACTAACTTGTATCAGGACGGGACGAAATTGAGGGCTAGCTATGGAATGGAATTGCATAGGAACGACAGCAAGCAGGCAATTCAATTAATTGTCATGTCCGTGGTCATGGAAAAGACATGAAAGCAAGTGGAGACACAGAATTCTCGAGGGAAAGTCTACATTCAGGTGAAAGTGATCAAGTGCTGAATCGTAGAGAGACCATGGCGTCAAAGGGCACCAACAGAGTGCAAACTTAGAGCTCAAAAGAGTTGAAGTCCATGATGATTTCACAGACGACTAATTTCTTATTTATTAGTTGGCCATGGATTTACAATATTGAAGGTCTTAGAGCTAATTGGAGTTGAAGCCCATGATGATTTCACAGACGACTGATTTCTTATTGATTCGTTGGCCATGGATTTATTGAAGGTTGGACAAAATTTCACTCTCGGGTAAAAGTTCTTCGGGAAGGTTTTGCACTTCGATGTGGGCTCTTAGAGCTTAATTTAGCGGCTCTTTCTAAAAGACGAGAATGTAAAAAACATCTCCAGTATAAGCTTCCCTTCCTGGTGGTCTTCTTAATCAAAGTGACATTTGTGTATAAGCTTGAGCTTACTTAGAAAGATCATCATAAATACGAAGAGTATGTTGCTTACGATACAGAAAGTAGTAAATAAAAACCACTACAAATTGATAAATTTAGATGACTCGCTCGCGGGGCAAATTGTCAAATCGTGGCCGGCAGGATTCGAACCTGCGCGGGCATTGCCCACATGATTTCTAGTCATGCCCGATAACCACTCCGGCACGGCCACTTCATGCATATTGGGAAGAAATGTACTTATTTGTATTATATTCTTGAGTTTACTGGTTTTTTTTTTTCATTTTTTACATAGGACCATGCAATTCGTTGCACAAGAGTTCCTTCTAATTTTCTTGAAATTACTCAAATTTCTTTTGTCATATCCACAAGTTCATTTTATTGTGAAATTATATTAAAATTAGGAAATTGTTAAATACACCACACTTTTTACTAAATACACCACACACAACGCAGAACACACCACACCGACACACCAGCAACACGACCATACTGTGGTGCGCGCACGAAGATCATCTCTCACGCAGACGAACACACCCACGCTCACTCGTTACTCTCAGATACAGACGCTCTCTCTTTCACTCATCTCCGCAACGGATCCAAAACCAAATGGAAGACACGCACTTAATAGATCATCGATTGGCACTCGATCTTGACATTACGTTCCTTGAGCGCGAAGACCTCGTAACACACGTCCAAAATCATGGTCTGACAAGTGCGTACGCATATATTATCCAGCGATCGGATATCAAGCGCAACACTGTTAAGCTGGGCTGCGATCATGGGGCCAATACCGTAAGTTTCTGAAACTTGCGGTCACTACACGGAACGCCCAGGCAGTAGCACCCGTCGCATCGGTTGTCCGTGGAGGGTAATTGGCAAGAAACAACAGGGTGTTTGGCAGATGGAGCTAAGTTGTGTACAGCATGATCACGATTCGTCAACCAACATGGCACGACATCCTAGCAGTCAGCGATTCACAAAGGAAGTGCAGCACACTGTTAACAAGTCATTAGCTGTTGGTAATCCTGCTCGTTAGATTTTGACGTCGTTACGTTAACAAGACAGTAATTTGCTGGTTGTTGGCGGAACTATCTATAACGCAAAAGCCAAGCGCCGTCAGAAAAAAACTAGCTGGGTGCGCACCAATTCAAGCGCTTCTGGATGAACTTCGGCAGGGCCAATTTGAACATGCTTTCCAATGCAGCAACAGCGGTAACGTGGAGAGGCTTTTTTCGCGCACCCAAATTCAATTTTTCTTGTTAGACGGTTCAATTCAGTCATAATGTTTGGTTGCATGTACAGAACAAACAAATTTGGAATGCCATTATTGCATGTAATCGGGCGGACTGCCCTCAATACATCATTCACCATTGCTATAATATTTCTCAGTGGGAAGGAGATAGGCGATTACATTTGAGCCTTAGATGAGCTCAGCAATTTGTTCAATGGCAAACTTCCATCAGTTATTGTATCGGATGCAGATAAGGGGCTTGCCGTTGCGATTGCTCGCGTTGCTCCAAATTCTCACCATCTTCTTTGCGTTTGGCATATTGAAAAGAATGTGCTTGCTCAATCAAAGAAACACATAAAGGATGGTGATCATCACACGCACTTTATGAAATCATGAGTAGGTGTTTGGCGCGCAGACCCCGACGGATTTTGAAACAAAGAAAACAGAATTATTCACTGAGATTGCTGACATCCATATGCTTATAGAATATCTCAGTGGAACTTGGCTTCATGATAAGGAAAATTTTGTGGCTGCTTGGACAAATGATTGTTAGCATTTTTGCAATGCGGCGACATCCGCAGTTGAAGGTGCACATGCAGGTTTGAAGAGATATCTACAAGTCAGTACATGAGACTTATATGTCGTACAAGAACGAATAGCCCATGCTTCAACGTCAACTTGAGGAGTACTACACTACGGAAGCTACTCAGAAGATGTTTGTGCCGCATAATTTGCGAGCGGTTCCTATGTTCAAGCACCTTGTCGGAAATGTGAGCCCTTATGCTTTGATATTGATTGAGGAATAGAGGGGTTTGGCAGTTAAAGTGATGGAAAAAGCAACATTGTCGGCTTGTCAAGGTACATTTAGACGCACATTAGATCTACCTTGCGCGCATGACATTGTGCTAGTCGGTGAAAGACTCATTTCCTTGAACACGATCGCTCAACACTAGCATTTGCACTATATTCTTGTGGCCAAAAAATCACTTGTGGATAAACTGCATGTTGGAAATCTTGATTTGTTTCAGAAGCAGCTCTAGATCCTTGAATCAACTTACGTGGAATGGTCACCTGCTCAGCAAGCTATAGCCTTGATGCAAGTCAAAGAGCTCAGTGCATGCAAGATGCCCTCGCTTTCCAACCCATTATTGGTGATACGAAAAGAACGCCCACTTGATGCCAAAAACAAACCAAAGAGCTCTACAAAGCGTGATCCATCAGCATTTGAGAATGCGAAGAAGAAGCGTCCTTGTGATGAATGTAGTCTGCTTCAAGATAACCACGATATGCGCACTTGTCCGACACAAAAATCTTGAAATTGAAAATTTGCGGTGTAGTGTGATGTGCGATGTATTTAGTAAAAAGTGTGGTGTATTTAACAATTTTCTAAATTTTTTACATTTTATTTTCAAATTTTCTATTTTCCAATTGAAGAAAGCTACTAAGATTGTGTGATTAGCAAATGAGAGAATTAAAGCGAGCCGCTAGTTATACCTCAGTTTATGTTAATAATCATTCATCATACTAATCATGTACAACCGGTTTGTTTTAGTGGGAACACACAATATCGAATTTCTTGATAGCCAACTTTCTTATTATCAACCTTGCGTCTGCGCTTAATCATGATGGGGTAGCCCTTACTGATGGCGTAATCTTGCACTACGCACATCGAATATTGCAGAGCGAGCTGTAACCATCTTTAGTTAGTTAGAACTAAAGTATAGGTTATTCTAAATATTGATGTAGATACTTTAGTGTGCACTAGTCATAGCTGCCACGTCAACTATCCGCGCACTTGGTAGGTACACAGTGGATGTGTTAGTTGACAGTGTCACGTCAGCAATCCGTGTGCTTGTAGGTAAGGATTGAGTGTGTTAGTTGGGTGCGCCACGTCAGCAATCCGTGTGCTTGTTAGGGTTCTCCACCACGTCATCCATCCACTATGAGTGGGATGGATGGTGCGGATTAGATCTTATCTCCTTGTACTTGTTGGTGAGAGCTATATAAGGAAGAGGATAACCATTGTTGATATCCCTCATCTTCAGAGTTTACGTTTCTATCTTCGAGTGAGCTTCTCTCTAAACCCTAGTGTTACAATAGTATCAGAGCGACCTTGCTCTTTCCTTGAGTGTGGATTACCCCTCATGAAATAGCAAGTGAGTGATGATAGAGTGTAGTCTTGAGAGTATATAGATGCTGGCAGAGGTCATTCATCTGCATGTAGAGAGAGGTGGGAGGGGGAAATT